AAAAATTAATCTCCTTGTTTATTTCACGCGGCTCTCGATTTTTAATAAGCTACCACTGGGACAAATGGTACAGCCGCTCTGCTACGGGCGAGGTTCGCATATCCGTACAGCCTGCGGTAGGGTCATCGTGTTAACGTCATCAAGCGAATGAAAAACGAATTTATCATTGAGTTATAGAACTACTTTGAGTGTTCTAGAAGGTTACCGAAAACATACATTATTCATTTTACATATTTTTACGATAAAAAATTCAAATGACATTTTTACTTTGTTTTTCTGTTCGACACCTGACTGAAATCCGATTTTTTTCATGCGTTTCATTATCGCGATGCTGCTTCTGATGACTGTTTAATTATTCTGCTTAATTAGTTCGGCCAACAAATTTGTTAACAATCTGCGCATTCGCAGTTCGAGTATTTTTTTTTTAATTTTATTTTAGATTACCGTGTGTTTTCAACACGCGCGCGCCTATTATAATTGATAGGTTATTTATTATATTCTAAGAAATCAATAATTTAGTTGATTTCTTAGGTGGAATCCGTTTCAAGCTTTTAAATTATACTTATACGCCCAAAACGGCCGTATAAATATGATTTAACATTTGTTGTGACAAAGTCTGTTCATTGCAAACGCACATAAAATACACACCTATAACCTTTGATGTTGAATATTTTTACATCGAATACAAAAACGTTAGTATTTACTTTAACGATTGATTTTTACAGTTTTTATATAACACGTGTATCATGTTGTTTTATATTGTTTACATATTTTTTTAATTAAATAAACACAAATGTTTTAAGTGAGCGAAAATAGCTCTGTTTTTTTAGCTAATACGTTTGTATTAGCTAAAATTATTTCTCATTGTAATCAGGAATCTTATAGAACTGAATTAAAAATATATTCTCCTTCACAATAGTAGTGTTTTATTTATAAATTACGTATCTCATAGTACTACTAATTGACATTCTCAATTAGTACTTAGGATATAAATAATAATATTTTAAATAAATTAATATAGCTCTTTTTTTTTAATAAAACTTAAGCGTTCACTTTTTTACTATAAAAATTTGATTCAACATAAATGTTGATTCCAACGGTTGTGCTTTAAATTACAATCGCTAAATAAGTATGAAAATAAAAATTAAAACGCTAAAAAAAATTGAGGTAAAATCCTGTCAGTTGATATTAAAATTTGCTAGCGTATTTTTTTACTTTAGATGTTTAAGATGTGTATATATATATATATTTAGGTGCATTCTATACATTTTTTAAGCGCAGAAAAATACCGAGATAATACAAGATTATTCATATTGCTCTATCGAATGTATTGTAAGAGTATTATGTAATTTTGTAATCTTTCTTTTCGACGAGAAATATTTTTTAACTCAATGAAAAATGTATGCATTACTTGGGAAAGTCTGTGACGAGAAATGTGTTGTGCATCAACACGCTCTTTTTTTTTTTTTTTTGTTCAGGTTTTAAGAATTATCTCTCCGTTATTTCCACCTCAGAATATTGATCGTTCTTTTAGCTTTATCGCTCCAGTTAGTTTACCGTCTTCTCCGCAGATTCCATTTTCCCTGTGAGCTATGGCGGCTCGCCGTCAAAAGTGCCATGAAGGTTTTATATGGATTTATTATTTGCCACATTTCTGTGTACTAAACTATTACACTGACCAAATGACATAGGAAAATGATGAAGCCTAATGCTCGTCTCTTACATTACAGACAATTTGTTGTAATGTTCCTGGAGTTTTTAGTATCCTCTTTTACGTTTTACCTTTTTACATTACTGCTGTCATTGTTAGTCTGTTTTTTTTTTGAGGTTTTAAATTTGGACGCTCAGACTTGGTACTCGTACACATTTTGTTAGGATATATTTATACTATGAGTCATTGCTTCAATAAGTATTATTTTTTTCTTATTAACATTGTTATCACTCTGTGGGTTATAAAAAAATCAATGGCTTGAATTCTCGAACCTTATAAACGATAGTTACTACTTGAAGGTGTACTAAGTACTTTTATTGAGCATCTATTGTTTAAGCGAATAAGATATTCACTTTTAAATATATACGTAATTTATACTTTGCATACCATCCAAGTTACGTATTTCGACTTTGACGTTTTATGAGCAATAACTTTTTTTTTTTTTTTTTTTTTGGAAGCAAAGTTGATAAAAATGATCAACAATAACAAAAGTCTAAAAGTGTTATGATTTTAACGCTTAAGTTGAACATTCCATTTTTGAACATTGCATTATATCACATTACTTATCATAAATTTTCGACTACTTTATTGCTACAAGTCTCATAAAATGGATTGAAAAATTTGTACCATAAAGTTTTCATTTCAACGGAAATATCCGTGGGAGGATTATTTCTAAATGTGGATCAGATATAAAATGTGAATGAGTAATGTGAATCTGTGATGAAATTCGCACCAAAACGAACTACTCCTTTCGGATTATTATGAAGGTAAAAGACGGTAGTGAGCAGATAAAACAAATTGAAAATTAAAATAAGAAATTCCGCTTCAAGGGGAAACAAGTTTTTTAATCATTTCTGTTTATTTTTATTTGTTTCAGGCTTAACGTGTAATTAGGGTTATTATTTCCGTTGCTTCAACACCGAAAGGTGTGTTTAGTAAAATTTAATTTGATTTACAACGTTACACACACACTCAGTTAAACTTTCGTTCAAGCCATTGGTTCACACGTGATTTGTCTGAGAACTGTTTTATATGAATAAAATATTAGCTTAAGGCACTTGCTTTACTGTAAAGAAGATAACGCATTTTTGTAGTAGTTGACAAATTCTGTCGTTTGTACATTTCCGTGAAACCTTTGAACAGTAAACTGTACAACAAATTTAATTTGCGAGTCATACAAAAGAGTATTTTTTAAATATGAATAACAATTTTATTAGTAAATCACTTTTTCCTCAAATAAATAACGATTTATTTAGAACTTGATGCTGAGAAGAAAAAAAAAGTAAAGACTATTAGCTGTCGTACAATATTACGTTTGTATTGCGCGAAATGATTTCGAGTTGTAAACATTTCATGGAAAATTATGTTGAAAGTTGAGTTTTATTTCCTAACTCGATCGTTTTTTTTTTCGATGTCCAATCGCCTTAGAAGGTATCGATAAATTGATTTTTTTTATATTTGAAATAACGTTGAAGTGTATGACTTGGGTAAAATCGAAAATTCTAATGGAAACTAATGTGTTTGAAAATAATTGTATGGAATAGTATTGGAAATGAAAGTATTTTTAGTAACGTATAAACGCGATATTTGTAAAGTTTAAATTTGGGAAAATCTCTAGATAATTGTTATGATTTTACTGAAGCATTAATTATTCTATCGAAAAATTTTGCTAGCCTATTATGTATGACAGTTTTAAATGAGAAAACCCTGTAACGGTCGTAGGTAAAGAAGAAAAGAGCACTGTAAAAATAGTTAATTGTTTATTGCTAGTTGAAACATTTTCTAACAGAATAAACTGTGTGGGCGTATCAAACGTTTATTTTAATCGAATGAATATCTCCGGTAAAAACTCTCATTTTCCTGTATACATCAACTGTTTTTCGAGGAAATTAAATTATACATATATACTTAGTTCATTAACTAGCTGTGGGGTCTTTTTATTCGACGTCACCAACTTGGTTCAGTTCGCTTTCCCTTTTACCTCGTAATCAGACCGTGAAAAGCGCGAACGCGATCTACGGCCGACATTAATCAATCACACTACTTAAAACCCCATGACGTCTATACAGACAACATTTCCAAAAACCTGTCATTTGTGAGGTGGCCGGTCATTAATGCTTAACCACTTTGGCACAGGTGTTTACTTCCGTTTTCCTCTATAAATGTATTGCGTATAAAAAAAAAAAATAAAACTCTCATTTAATTTACTCTCATCATGTGAAAACAGTGTTGGTTGTTTCTTAAATGTACTATTTAGATAAATTAAATCAAATGAATATTAAGAAAATAAATATTGGACAGAAGGGGCATATTTTCATTATTTGTTTTAGGTAACATTTAATGCTCTTCTCAAGTTTTAGAAAATTGTCTCGACCTAGTCAATTTTTATTCGTTTCACGCAATGAACAATTTCTCTCAATTAAACTTAGTTGTTTTTTATGGATTTTTGAGTCCGGCTAAATTAAACAGATTGAGAATAATTTTCAAACCTTTTGTAGAGTTCAGGTGACACACTAACTTTGTGTATATCATGAATCAAGTTTTTGCCTTTATTTTGTTTAACGATACCAAATAGCAATTATACTTTTTAATTTTACTGCGATGCAAATTTTCTGCTTTTATACACCTACTCAAACAATCTTTATTTTTTGCTTTTATGAATGAAGTTTTTTTTTTCGCTTTATTAAAATACTATCTCTCGAACCGATCTCTGAAAAAGATACTTTAATTACTGTCGAGATTTTTCCAACATCAAAATCATATAGTCTTTCAAAACTGATAAGTGCGGTAAACGTAAATAACAGCGCAGTAGGAGTTCTTTAATTTACCACTCGAACGTCCTCGCTAAAAAACAAGTTTAGATACAAAGTCGCAAAAATTACTGAATACACAATCGTAATGTATTTTTTTTTTTTTGATACGCTTCAATTTCGTATGCTTAGTTTCTACCGAGTGTTATGTTGTTGGCGAGTTTTGATAATTATGTATAGTTCACCGTGTTGACATTAACGTAGTATTCAATTTAATCACTGCGTCTGAATTATTCAGGTCAAATAGACTTGATTTTTTTTTTGTTTTTGAAACCCGTTTTTCAAAGTTGTTTGCAATTCTACAATAGTCATTGTCAAAGTGAGCGACCATCCAATAAAGTTTGGGGGGTCGCCCATTCAAATTCGTTTAGAACTACTAATGTTTAGTTAAATAAAATATTAGATATAATTGAAATATTTTAGAAATAACTTGTATGATTTTTTTTAAGCGTTTATTAATTTTATATTTTTAATTTCAGTTACCGACGTCCGGGGAAGGTACAGAGCTGACGGTCCGGGAGCTGGAAGAGATGGCGTGTCGACAACAGCACCAGATCGAATCTCAGAGACAATTACTAGCAGCCAAAGAACAAAGGCTGAGGTACCTAAAACAACATGACACCAAACATCATCAGGTGGCGGCAGAACACGAGCGTCTCCGGCGGCTAAGGGACAGAGTCGAAGCACAAGAGCAGAAACTCCGAAAGCTTCGAGCTCTTAGGGGTCAAGTCGATCAGACGAAACTCAACAACGTCACGCTTAGTAAGTAGTATAAATAATAATAAGTTTTATTACATTAAGTGTGCTGTACTGGTGTTTTTTAATTATTCGACTGTGGTTAGAAGGAGGGACTACGTGTAAAAGTTATATTTAGCCGTATTGTTATTACACAGAGAATGTTGATTGGCTGTTCAACTTTACAGTTTTTAATCTAAAACCCTTTTCATTATGAAATTGAAAACATTATTTGAATCGCCCAACTTTATTAAACTCATCCTTTCTATTCATTTAATAATCCCTTTTCAAACAAAAGGTTAAAATTGAGTTTATATATTTTCTGGGATTAAAACTGTATTGATTATAAATGTTCTTAGTTAGGCGCACACAAGTATAATTTATATACAATAATTGTTTTTCAATCCTCTTAGTAGATAATAACATGTTTTGTACCGTCCTTGTTTGTCGCATACAATTCTAATTGTATTTGAATAGTTTTCTCTAAAAAAAAAAAAAACGGTAAATTTTATCAACGTCATTCTTCATTAAATTATGGGCGTTGAGTGGTGAGTATCTAATAATAGTATACGTCCTAACATGACCTCAAAGTGAAATTACTGAATAAAACAGTTGATCAACTGATGATACTAAGCACAACATACAAAGAACACAATGTGATTAAATTTCTTGATTTTTGTGTACATGCTTAGCGAACATTACTCTCATTGTAATATTTGCCGCACAGATAGAATGTGTTTATTTTGATATTGGAGATTCTCAATTTTCTATTAAAGACTTTCTAAGATTTCGGCGTATTGATTGAAATGCCAGTACAGCTAATTTGATACAGACATTGTATAAAACATCGTAACAAGCTGCTCATGTCTCAGATGTATCTATAAACAATTTTCTTCTGTTTTGAAGAGAGAACTTATTGCGCACAAACAGTGTACACGTTTTGTTCAACTCTTTATGAAACATTGACCGATTCCCAATAAAATTTATCCTCAGAAATGTTTGCCCTTCTCGAATACTTCCACAGGTCTTACTAAATTGTTAGTCCTCCGGTCAATGGGTTCCGTCTTCTCGTGTCACAAAATAACAGTTGTTTTTTCCTTTCGGAGAAAATATTAAATTAAACTACCGCAAAAACTAAGTTCGATCACACGTTACTTCGGAACATGTACGCGTAACTCCCAAGAGGCCGAGATTTTCTCCTAGACATAATGTGATATCATTCTTTCTATCCTTTGTTTTGAAAACCTATCGGTTCCATTTCCCTTGGCAACTCGCGACGCCCACGCGGAAATTTCGTACACATAATGTCTGGCCCCTACAGTGGATCATTAGTATTAGTGTTTGAAAATAGCTTTTGCGTGATGTACTGTTATTGTTAACCCTTTGCATGCTATCAAAATTCGACGGAAAAGTTAAACCGACCCGACTTGTAAAACGATCGCGTGACGTAATTTTAATGTATTTGTGCTGATTCGAGTGCGGTAAAAATTCTAAAAACTGTTTTGCGGTAACGTCTAAAACAATACATCCCTAAAGTTTCCATTTTGCAGAGCATATTCACAGCCGTGTGCAAATTAACAGTGTTATACCAACTTTTCTATGTAACGTGTAGGCGAGTGTGTATAATATGATTGTCGGAAAACCTCTCGCCTTTTTGTAAGACGTGTCACTGTCAAATCGGAATCTGAATTTCGTTGCCTTTTGTTGTGGCGAGTTTCGGATAAAAGTTCTCTCTTGTGTTGTTGCCGAATCTACTGCAACAACAATAAACTCCAAAAACAAACACGACCGATAACACACATGACGAAAACCGTTTTTATGGGATTCCTTTTGAATTCGTATTACCAATCATTACAACACCTTCTATTTGTAGACCTTTCGGCAAAACGATATTTTAATAATATTTACACTTAAAGTCTCGAAAACGTCAAAAAAAAACCGCGTATTTAGCACAACATTAATTAGACATGCGATTGACTACATGTTATTGTTACTAACACCAGACCCTTTTTAATTTTAACATTATTTAATGAGTAACAATTTATGTCTTTGCATAACAATTATCATATTGAAAAGTTTATAAATTTGCTTTATCCACATTTGTCACATTAATGTACACATACTAGTATATGTATATATTTTTTTTATTTCTATTTCTCATTTGTTTTTTTAATCTAAATAGGTATACATTTTTAATTAATCTTGAAGTTGTTAATTATTTACTATTTCCATAGTTGGTATTCAACATTAATGGTGAAAATATTCACTGACATTTTCTTGTGTTGCATATTAAAGAATTCATGTTTTTTATTTAGTCTTCTTTTTTGTGTTTACCATAAAATAGGGTTACTCTGTACCCTTAAATTTCGCCATAACGTTTCACTAAAATATAAGTGTCTACTGTAGTGTAAGTAACAAACTACGAGAGAAGTTTTTGGTATAAAATTACTAGGCATAATTTGTGAAAAGTTTGCAATGACAAATCAAAGCGTCTATTCTCCACATTTTTTATACTACGCGCTTTTTTCTTGGTACAATGTCATATTTAAGGTGTAAAGCAGCCTATTTTACGGTAGTAAGCATTACTGTCATTTTATAATATTTACTTTGAAATTTATTATTTGTCGTTTCGAGCATTATTGTGCATCTGATCTTTAATAATCCATGTGGTTACCGTTATTTTTGTTTCATAACAAACACGACGTGACTCAAACAAAAAATGATAGCACTAGTATGTCTTCTATAATGCGTATAATAATCCTTATAACACGTATAAAATATCACAAACTTATCGTTTTTTAGAACTTTTTTACTTGTATACAAGATGATTCTGTTATTATAGATCACTTAATCGAAAAATTAAAAATAATATTTTTTTTAGTTACATATATTTCTCGATTTATCAATCATGAAGTATTTATCAAGTTCATCCCGTATCACTTGTAAGGGTGTCAACTGTAATTTTTTTTTTTTTAATAGGATCATGTATAAATAACTAGTTTATTTATTAGCCAATAATATAATTAAGAAAATGATTGGTCAATAACAACGTTTGGATTAGTATTTCAGAAGTTATTGACGTTTTTATACTTTGGCGGGGGGAGAAGTAGGGCCGAGAAATGTTTAGAAAAGACTTCCGACTCGCTCGGTACAGTTAGTGTAGTATCATTACAATTTTTTTTTTATTTGAAAATAATTCACTTATGTATTATTATTCAAATATTGATGTACATAAGTTGTGTAATATAAATAAAATTTTGCTAGCGATTTCCTATGTTAATTTCTTATTGAAAAGATACTGATAGCGTCGTATGTATAGAATAAAAGTTAATTTTTTAATTATACAAAATATATAAATAGTGATCATATACTATATTATTATTTAACAAGACTTGAAATGATTATGAATAATCAATTATTTTGTATAACGCTTTGACATTTTTATAATTTCTCATATCACCGCTTCATCGTTCTAATAAATTATTATTTAATAATTTAATTACTAAATTATTACTTAATTAGGTTTTGAATAAAATCAGACTTGTAAAATGAATGAAAATTCATCTTTGTCTCAGCTAAGTCTATTTAAAACTGAGTGAATTTTGATTTTTTGAATAACAGAATTATGATATCTCATGTGTGTATTATACAGTGTTATTGTATGGCGGTGTTTTATTATTGTAGAAGATGTTTTTTTTTCTAATAGACTTTGCGGTACCCAAAAGAGTACTCGTCCAGAGGGTTAAATAAATGCGGTGGAAGACAGCTATTCGTAGTATTGAGCACGTTCTCCGTGACTAAACCATATTTTTACGGTCCTCTTTTTTTCGCCCTTCTTCGGAAATGGTTTTGGATCTGAAAAAAATACGTGTGTGCGCGAAAAGAACGCAGCAAATCCACTTGATAGAAATAGGCAACGAAAGCACTTATATCAACCTTACATCAGGAAATGGCAAAATGCACAAAAAAAAGTCATTCTCGGCATTTCGACCGTTTTCAAAAATACGCGTACCGTACTGAGAAATTACAAAACAACTTTTATAGGTCAACATAAGACAAAATAATATCTGTTTCTAACTTTCTGCTTAAATTGTTTTTAATTGCTGTTATTTGTTTATATAGACGTACTTTCATATAATTATTTTATATCGCTTTAAATCTTGTATGCAGTATAAATTAAAAAATGTACCCCGTGTACTTTGCCGGCGCAAAAATACCGCTAAACATTATTTATTCAGACTTTACACGGGAAACTCCCCCGCTTGTTTATCGTTTCGACATTAAACGGAGTCTGTTAGATTGCCGCTAAGAGAAAATTAAGACGTCTTAACGGTTCTTTAGGAATAGGGAAGAACGACTTAAAATTTGTATACAGTCTTACGGGTTAATCTTATTAGAATAAATTATTCATTAAAATAATTAGTCCAAAATAACACTTATTTTTCATTTATTTACAAAATTAATTAAAACATATATGCTCTTGACGTTAATTTTTACTCGAGTTTAATATGAAAATTATCATCAACTCAAACACAACGAAGAAGCCTGACATAGGCCGCCTTGCTATTAGTAGTTGAAAATATCCTCCGGAATTTTTATGAAACAAACGACGACTGCATATTTGAATGGTAAAAATATTTTCATGTTTTTAAACGTTTAAAGAATTCTCGTGCCATCGTCATTAACCTATTTTTATCTTTGCCGTATTGCAATTAACAACTTAAAGAAAGGGCCGATTTAATATTAACAGGTATTTTTCAGACGGTCGCACATAGAATAATTAATCAAAATTAATGATCCCAGTTTTGTTGTGTGGCTTGGTCATTTATAAATTACTAACTGTTAAAAGCAGACCTGTAAACTTTGCAAAGTAATATAAATAGGTTCAAATACTTAACAGTTGTGTGTACTATTTCTTGCATGTCATAACAAACTCATCAAAAGATTTTATAAGTCATGTAATGATTCCTAAAAACTTTCTAACATGTAATCATTAAAGCTGTAATAAGTGTAGTTGTAATTATTTATATCTTTTAAGACATTGTTGTCTTTCTCTTCGCTAATACTTGTACTATTAATTTTTTACGCCATCTAAAATGGATAATGTTTCCAAGATATTAATGTTTAGTTTACTAACTACATAGAAAATATTTTTTTAAGTTATTGTTAATATAGAGAAAAGATAATTATACGGCCTGATTGATATATTGTTGACCACTAGATTTCTTTTAAAATAATACAAATTTTAAGGATTTTTTTTTTATATTACTTAAAATAAGAAACATCACTCTGGCGCGTTTATTTCACACACAAGTAAAAAAAACGCCCATTAATCCAAAATACCGGTTCAAATATTGTTTTCGACTAGTCATTTTCTTAGTTTGATCATTTTATTATATTTAAACTAGTAAAATATGTTTGTGATCATTCAAAAGAATGTAGTCCTTACCCTTGTGAGGGATGGACCTAAAAGTATTTTATACAAAATAATTCATTTTATAAATTGAGCAAAAAAGTGTACTATACGAAGCAAACAAAATTATGCATAATTGTTTTAGAAGAATTTAACAATAAATCACTCTGAATAATTAATAGAACTATTTTATATAGTTGGCCCGATTATAAAATCGTCTGGAATTACTAAATAAATGTAGTTTTTTCTTTTTGCGTATAACGATTAAAATATTTAATTATAAATTAAATAAATAAATAATAATTTTTTCTGTCATAGTTCAAAATAAAAACCCACGTATGGAGAACCAAATAGGTGATTATATTCGTGTTTGATTTTCAAAGCGCTTTTTTAACCAGAATTGAGGCGGGCGTGTGTTATTATATACTAAAATATATACACTCCAGTTGACAAGTGTTTATCATAAGTACGTCGGGGTATGATACCACTGTTGAATAAATGAACATCTAAAAAAACAACCACGTGACGATGTTACTACTAAGAACGATTTTTCGGTTTACGTGGCCCGTATAATTTTTTGCTAGAAGGTAATTCTCACTTAAGAAGAAATGGGGCAAACAAATTTAATTCCCATAACGACAGCGTTGCGTGACACTTCAGTTTTTAGGCCTTAGCTATGATTTATCATACTCTTACGGGTTTGTTTTTAAGTCAGTAAAACATACGCTAAAATAATTTGTTTACTTTAAGAATTTGGATTCAAGTTGAATAATTTTTTTAATGTAAATTTATTTTGAACTTTTCGTAGCGTAGCATATTTTTCAAAGAAAACCTCTCAGATCTAACCTTCTAAAATCCTGACTGCTGCTTGTACAAGCGATAATGTTTATTTACAAATGTCTTCAGCCATCTATGGTAGTTTTTATATATTTTAAGCAGGATTAAGTTTGTTTTCTTTATAGCTATATTCATTTATCGTTGGATATAAGACCTTTCCGAGATTTGATAGCGGACAAAATTTTCCGCGACCTAGTTAAATGTTATTTACTCTTTACACCTTTATAGAAGGTCCATCACACAGAAAAACCTCCCAAAACAAAAGCATAAATGAATAATTATTAGTGGTAGTGTTATAACTTAACACAGCAGACCCATAAAAGGTCATGATTTATTCATTTGAATATAAAGCAAGTAACTTTTTTGTTTGACCAACTTAATTAAAATGTATGCTCATTTAAAATTATGTGTCTTCATTTTATTTTTATTTTATTATTATAGATAACAATGAGGGTTTATTTTATTATTATGTATAATTCATTGTGTCCCTTAATAGTACGGGTGTTAGAAATTAGAGATCCCTATACCCTTATAATGAAGTTAAAAGGCTCTGTGCAGGACACTGGTTATTTGTGTAAGACTAATGAATTTGTATAAGAATATAATAGACATGAAATAATACAAATCCACGTTTTAAAAAGTTTATCTATTTGTAAGATATTATAAACTAAACTCAGATTTATCATCTCTGTCATTTGATATTCTAACTAGCAGCTCATCTAATATTTTATGTATTCCAATTCATTGTTTTGTAAAATAAAAATAAAACGAATTTTAAGAGCATTTATATTTTATGTCTTTGTTCTGCAATAGCCAGTTTTATCATATATGAAATTTCTTGAATAGGAAATGTATACCTGTGAAATTACAACTTTCGGTATATAACAGGATTTTTGTTTGCGATTCATTATTTATCAAAAGCAACATTTTTACAGAAAATTTGAATGTACTTACACTTTTTGAAAGCATATATAAATATATATATTACGTTACAACTAATGGTCTTTGTCTTCACAAATGTTAAATGATTGTTTCCGACTAGTGTCCAGGGGTATTATCCTTAAACCATAGTACTGGGACCTATTTGAAAATAACAAACTCTTGGGAATGATTTGGAGAATCGTCATAAATAATCGGATACCATATATTAGTGTACGTATATATATATATATATATATATATATAATATGTCTATAATTCATCATGGGAATATTGTGTTCCATCATGAAGAATATTACACGCCATTTGAACATGATATCCAAACAATGCGTTTCTCATAAAAATGCAATGCGAATCCTGTACTTTTTCGTTTTAAAATAACGCTTTATGCTTATTGGAAAACTTTAAGAGATAGAGAATACTGAAAAATTCTTATTTAACGCTCCGGCGATCCCGAGTATTTAAACGGATTTTTTAACGTATATAAAAACCTATCCCATATTTTACATTGTCAAGTATTATGTCACGATCCATTTGGCCTTAAACATAATTGATTGTCAATAATGGATGCACGAATAAATACAAATTATAGAATAGGTCGTTTAATTTAACATTTATATGATGTGTAAAAAATATATCTACTTATAAGTATTTTAAAATTCAATTTTTTTTTTAAATATTTTTCATATTGTTATTTCAACGATAACTGTAATGATAACAATTTTAATCCGGAGCAGTTAGTTTGAATCTCGAACTATCTATTAAATGTTTTGATGCGTATAAATTCTTAGAAAATAATTTTTTGTAAAAAAAAATAACGGTTATTAATATTTGACCTCGTTTTATGATATTTTACACCACCTTATTTTTCTCTTGTATTTTCATCGTCCGTTGAGTAGTTTTCTATGGAGAAAACAACGCAATATTCATCTTGTATTAGTTTGTTGAACTGTAATTTCTATAATTTATTATAAATTTTCATTCTGCATTCTAAACAAAATTATTCACTAAGTTAAGACAAACCGAACATTAACACATTACTTTAACAATAACATCGTTGAGCCTTCTTGTAGTGAAATGTTACACTAACAATTTATAACTGTCGTTCAAAGTTTAGGTTTATAAAGCTTATTCAAAATTATTTTAACGCTATTAAGCTTAAAACACTAATAATTTGTAATATTTTGTGCGATATCATAATTAAATTAAATATAATGAATAAATAAAAAGTACTAATAACGAGTGTCGAATGTTTGTTTCATATTGTCTTTTAATAAAAAAATAAATTTTGCTTTTTATTCAATTATTTCCCGCGCGATGTAAATTCCATTCACAAATTTCATTAGCTGTAATTTAGTTATTTCATTATTAATATGACAAGATGGCAATTATTTGTGAAAAATTAAATTATCAATAATTGTTTTACTAACCAAGTAGTAAAAACAAGAATTACTACATTGTCATGTAAAATATAAACAAGCTGATGTTATATTTTCATGTTTTCAATATTTTTATTTTCCACGGTGTTTTATCAATTTAATTTCTGTAATTAATATCTAGCTTCAAGAGATTTAATCCTTTCAAAATCCTTAATAGACTTATACGTACCACGTATCGGCTGTCATCAATATTGCCGACTGACAACGATACCATTATAATGTTCATCATTAACCCATTTGCTTAATTGGTAACTCCGCGAAACTCGCTGTATTTCTCTTAATAATAATCCTTTATATTACAACCTGTATTATGCTTTTAATGCGCCAAGTTTCACCGGAAGTAGAAAAATGTATATTTTATCTTTTAAGTGTAATCATTAATCATTCTCAATTTAAACTTTTTCGTACTGAGGAGAAACAATTAACTGTTGTACCCTAAAGGACTTTAACGAAAAATACAATTTTTTTTTGCTGTTCATTGTACATAAATGGAATTTTAGTTTCGTGCAAATTTCTGTTTGTTAATTAGAGAATTCCGGTATTTAGTAAACACCAAATAAACTATTTTGAACACCGCCGCTATTTTAATCAATATTATCCCTAGCTGTCGTCTGCTATGCAGTAGGCCAAACGCAATTTGTTAAGCTACGTCATGTACTGAATTTATAGCCGTTTTTTTGACAACGTTCTTGCAACTATGGAAATCATTTTCTAACGGAATTAGTTTCATTATATATTCTGTAAGATACTGCGATTTTTCGCCTTTGTTAATATTTTTACTGTAAGCATGAGTTTGTTTACATGAATGTATGTTTCTACGGTGTAACAGTGTGTTGTATTAGATAGCAGGAATCCCAAATGATAATTTAACTCTATGGAATTGTTTCTCTAAAAAATATTATTCATCTATAAAAACGCCTATTAAATTATTTTACCGACTAAAATATAATAGTGTACGATAATAATTTTAGATATTTTTATTTTTTAGCTTCTGATTTAGAATCTATTCGAGCACTGTTCAATGAAAAAGAAAAAGAACTGACCGTAGCTGTAGCTAAAGTAGATGAGTTAACTAGGCAGCTGGAAGATGTACAAAAAGGTCGTGGAGGGCAGTCTCAACAAACGTCACCAGCTTCCATGGAGCTGGACAAACTTAGAGCCGAGTTGTTGGTAAGTTCAAATTTGATGTACTGAATGTTGAAAAAGACATTAAAAAAAATCTTGTGTTTTTAGTATCGAAATAAATTGGGTGAACAGCAAACAGCTAGACTGGTTCAACAACGAGAAGTCTTATCCAAAAGACAAGAGGAAATGGCATCGATTGACCGAAGGATATCGGAATTGCAAGCTAGATTACACAGGAAGAGATTACTTAACCAACAGTTAGCCAATCAAATCCAAGCAAACAAACCTGCACATAATAATAGGTCAGTAGTAATGTAGATCACTAGTAGCGATATTAATGGGGTATAATTTAATTCTGGGTACGTGGAGAATACTGAACGTTTAATGAATATTGATGCGTCTTACAAACATACCTCTCCAATTGTCAATAGCAGTCTAATTTCTCGTTAATTTTAATGTATATTCAACATCCGAGTTCCTTTGATTTTTAATAGACTCTGTACTTTGTAAACAACACATCTGAACTCTAATGTTTCTAAATTAGCTTGAATTTTAATCGAACTAATGGATTATGAACTGATATGTGTTATTTTAGTATTAATTAATTGTACAGTAATTATGATATTTAAACGACATTATTCTAAAAAAGATTAAGTCATATTTTCAAATAAATTTTTTGAATTTTTATTAAATTATGTGTTATTTTCGAAACGAAAATATGACTTAATTTAAAATTATTATAATTAACTTTTTTCACGATTTCAAGAACGCCATAATTTATAAAAATAATTATTATAATTGCCATATTTATTAAACAAAATGTAATTTTTTAGAAATAATTTTTTCAACTATATTTTATGTTCACCTTTATATAGATAAATAATATTTAATATCTCTTTATATTTATTAATTTTTTATTGATAATTAATAGATCCCTGGGTGGAAAGCAGATGATGCCGCTGTGCGATGGAAAAATTAGTGGTGGTAACGTTGCAGCTGTTGAGCCTTTTAATCATGTACCGGGCCCCTTAAACAAGAACTCTCAACTTCGAAAGTCCGAAGACAATATTCTAAGTCATGCGACGGGTTATCCAGGTGTAGCTAGACCTGAACAAAAGCCATTGTCTCAACAACCGTTACCCGTTCTCAAGCAAGGTCCTGAACCCTATCAACAATATCAGTCTAAACCGGCACACGAAGTGTATAAAATTGAACAACAAACAATTAATGGCAATCAAAGCGATCCAATGTACTTTGGTAAGTTTGATCCCAAGTACCAAACATTACCATACAACACAAAGTTCTCACCGTTAGCAAATTACAATGGTAACAACCAACCAATGCAGCCGCAACAGCATTATCAACAACAACAACAACAATATCATTATCAACAGCAGCAGCAATGGTACGGTCAGCATAATGACGAAATGTCAGATGAAAATAGAGACCTAGTCAATAATAACGGTTACGGAGACCAAAAAGTCAACGGCACCGCCCATAATAAAAAATCTCCAGTTATATCTGGTCAAGTCATGACCAACTTGGGACAAAATTTGCAAATGCAAAGTTCTAGCCGACCTATCAATGCTCAAGTTTACCACACAAAACCTCTATCGTCAACCAATCTAGTGGCGGCACCTAGGTAATGTATTACTTTTATATTTCTAATACTTTGAAAATTCTTTGTAAAAAAAAAAGTTATCTAATGTATGTATAATTTTTTTTTAAGGCCTCCAAACTACTCGATGCATCCTCAAGTTTTGAACTCTAGAAGCCAACCTGTGGGTGGATCAAACTTAAATAATCATCAGGTACGGTAGATCTTTAAGTTATACGAGTAATATTTTCATTATTAAGAAATATACTATTTTTAGTATTATTTTTTGTTGTATACAAATGTTTAATTTTATTTAGTGCTTTTAGTATATTTTTTTTTAATGCACATAGTGGCTGTTGAGTATTTTTTTTCTAATTAGAGTAATAAACACTTTTAGAAACCAACTAGTAGTGTGTCACCTATTTATCAAACCTCTTCAACCAAGGTACAACCGGTGCAGCCTCAAGTAATGAACTCGATGGGTGCTAATCAAACGACGGTCAGAGAACTGAAGTCAATTGAATCCAATAACGATCGACCACCCAGTCCATCGACGATCGGTAAGCCCGCATTGCCTCCCAAACCTCCACCGCCATCTGTTGGAATCAAAACGTCCACCCCTCCCCCGCCGCCTAGGCAGAGTGCTTATCAACTACACCAGCAGCAACCACAGTACCATCAACCGGTAACGGATAACAACCAACCGATACTGACAACAGTAGATGAAGGTCGGTCATACTTTACGGCGGACTCCTCTAGTGGTAAACCACTAAATTTAATATCCAAAGATCTGACTTCACCACCATCACGGATACCCAATGGAGTAATCAAATCTGGTTTTGGAAATTCTGTTGACTCTTCCGAGTCGGATAACTCCTCTAGTTCAGCCTCTGTGAAATCGTCTAATTTTAGTAACATCAAGTAAGTTAAGCGGTGAGAACCCATTAGTCATTCATCGTTTTTAATTTTTTTGTTTTTTTATCATAGGAATGGCAATCATCTCTTAGACAGCGTGCGGCAGATGAATATATCGTCGAAATCGTCACCTCCGCCTTCTGCGGCATCCACAATCATCACTGATGTAAATAGCAACAAAGAACAATTACCAGCCCTTACTGATAAACTGCGGTTGCCTTTGCTCAACGGTCGTACTTCAGCCTATCCGATATCATCAACCGACATTATAAACGGCAATGTGGACATCAAAAACAAACCGTCACCAACGTCAAGTACTCTTGAAAATAATAACCAAAAGAACATCGACGAAACCGATAGAGTGGCAGTAAGTGTAGCCCAACGAATCGACGAATTAGAGACTCGATTCGGCGGTGGAAATGGAGGAGGTCTAAACAATTGCGGAGGTGGATCTTCTTCGACCGACGACAACAGTACCAGTAATCACAGTTCCTCGTCACCTGATTCAGGGCAAGACTCTGGCAGGGATGATGTCATCTCTTGTGAGTAGATTCCAATGTACTTACATTAATATCAAACAAATGTTTTAATAACAATATTTATAAGCGTCATTTTAACTTGTTTAAAACTAAAAACAGTAGGTTTTTGACGTATTTCATTGTTTTCTATATAGATTATCGATTACATTTTTTCTTGAAAATTTAATCAACACAGTGAACTTATATATTTTTCAAATTCAATTACTGAAAACGATTATTAGGAAATATGGCACGGCTTAAATGAAACGCCGTTTAAATTGTGTCAATTCTAAAGGAAGATTTGATAATAAAAACCGCAGTTTTCCCTTTAATGGGACCCCTTAACTATGTATAGTTTTTACTTCCTTTGAAATCTCATTTAAAGCACATAAAAATAAAAAAAAAAACCCAATGGCGGCGTTACTTGACTTAGAATTCGTATTTTTTTTTTTTGACTTTCGAAAAGCCAATTCAAAACTTATTTAAGTGTTATGTGAACGAAAAGAATAATCAAAAACTATGTTGTGTGTTTAGTCGAACTAAACACAAGTGAAATAGATAAGAGTTATTCTGTGCCTCTAATGGAATTACATTTTGTTTTATTCAGTGCATGTCTTTTACGAAGTTTTCTATTTCTATTAAATCAAATCAAAGTAAATACTTTTACCGATTGGAAATGTTCCTTTGATCTTCTTTTATTTAATCAATAAATTCAATATTAATTAATAATCAATGCTGTTGAAACAATAATGTCGTCGCGTTACAAACTTGAGTTTAATTGACGTGGTGGTGTATCTTAGAAATTCATTAGACTAGGAAAATCTCTTTGTAGTCGAAACGACGGGGTAAGGTGTTGCAACAATGTGATATATTGTTCAACTTTTCGACAATAACAAAACTGACTAATGTACCGCACAAGAAAAAGTTAAATATAACATAAAAGTTTTGACGGAATAACCGAACAAATAGAGTTGTTAATAATAATAATAATTGAGATGGCGCGACGCCGGTAGTAGTAATTCCTAACTTAATTGTAATTTGTGCACATTTTCCGGCCAAATAAAGTTCACTTGTCAAACGAAGTTAATTGTTTTCGTTTGTTTGTTTTTACAGTGGAATGCAGGAACAGGTTAGTGATGCGGAAAAAGGGTAACCTAAAGGAATCGGGTGGCAGCGTAGGCCATAAGCGGAGAGTGTCGTTTGATCCGTTGGCATTACTGTTGGACGCTTCGCTTGAAGGTGAACTCGAACTGGTCATGCGAACGGCCGAACAAGTATGGGCGAAAACTTTTCAAAGGCACTAAAGCAAAAAAAAAAAAAAACAATAATAAAAATCATTTGTTTTATTGCAGGTGGGAAATCCCAGTGCGGCAAATGACGAAGGAATAACTGCGCTACACAATGCCATATGCGCCGGCCATATAGACATTGTTAAGTTTTTAGTTAAGTTTGGCTGTGATGTAAATGCTCAAGACTCAGACGGATGGTGAGTATTGTTTTCCCGTTGAAATGTTTTTCGTGATTTTTTTCATCTTAAAAAATAACAATTTGATTCAGATGAGCGTGTTAATCTATCATTAGATTGTGATTTTTATTTTCATTTACATTCAATCAATTTTCTGTCCATGTCGTTTATTTTCTATTAATATGTAAATTAAATAACGAAAAATGTTAATATTAAGGAGAGACAGAGATAACTGTTGTTCGGTTTTTTTTTTTTTAATTTTATCGCAATTCAAAAACGTCGTCGCCCCAAATGCTGCATAACGTTAGGCATAAATTTCTTAACTTGAAATGATTTGCGGTACAATCGTTTTGTAGATTATCGTTTTACATTTGTATTAATTTCCATTTCGTCTGTAGACGCTTTTTTATTCGAATTGATTTCGTTCGTAATAAATAAAATATACGAGTCTACTAAGCGGTGCTTATAATCGCGTTAGAGTTTTGACTTACCTTGGGCGATCATAATGTGATTTTACACTTTGTCAATTTTTTTTTATTTATTATTCGCGCACTCGAAAAATCAGTAGCTAGAAAAACTACCGAGATTTTCTATCTCGCGCGAATTTAAAAAAGTATCGATTTGAAACAAAACAGCGTTCAAGTGAAAAAGCGACAAAATTACAAGGGCCGGGGGGGGGGGACACCAACAGCGCCGAACACACAAATAGTTGATAATTGTCCGTTTTTTTTTTNCGTTTTTTTTTTTTTTTTTTTAGGACTCCGTTGCACTGCGCCGCCAGTTGTAATAACCTGTCGATGGTTCGTTTCTTGGTGGAACACGGCGCCTGTATATTTGCTACCACGTTGTCCGATCAGGAGACGGCAGCGGAAAAGTGCGAAGAGGACGAAGAGGGTTTTGACGGGTGTTCCGAATTTCTGTACAGTGCGTATGACACGGACGGTGTCCTCGGAGAGTAGACATTTCACGTTTTCCTTTGTTTTCCATTAGGTGTTCAAGAAAAACTGGGCATAATGAACAACGGCGTGGTGTATGCCGTTTTCGGGTACGAGGCCCACAACCAAGACGAACTGTCGTTCGGCGACGGCGACCGGATTGTCGTGTTGCGCAAAGGTGACGACAACGAACGGGAGTGGTGGTGGTCGAGGATCGACGACCGCGAAGGATACGTGCCCCGAAACCTTCTGGGGGTAAGTAGTAGTGTTGTAGTGTATTAACGTTAATTAAAAAACGAACAAATTCGTTTTGTGTGTGTTTAATTACTCAAACTCTGGTTGCGTTTCAGCAGACCGCGTCTTTTTCGGCTTTCAAGATCAACAGAGTACGATTTGTTTGCTAAACGACAGATAATGTTTCTCACTCGGCGGGGGGCTCGTTTTTTGTCTGATGCACATCGCGGCGTTCATTTCATCATTTTCCAAACATTTCTCCCCACACTCTATTACATTTCGATATTCTATGAAAAATAACCCGCTAGTGTATTGCACTTGTATTCGCGCTCTCTTTTTATCGCGTCTTGGGTTCACAGTATTTACACTGACTCGATACGTCGAGAACGTATTATATGTTAATAAAAACCTTTTATTTTCATCCCTTAATAAAACCCATGTTTGTTGTTCAATCTGCCGACTGTACTCGACATTCCACTGTTCGTACACGGTTTCTCTATACAGCTCATAACTAATCACATTAACTGTCTTTTTCGTTCGGTTGGAAATGTTCAGTGAATCGTGTGTAATTTGCACGAGAAAAAAAGTTCATTTTAGTTTTTTAACCGAAACAAATTATTACCATTCGTTTTATATACAGAGCGATCGGTTTATCATCAGCAAAGTGAAAAATAATTATCATTTCTTTTAGTTGCCCATTTATTATTTGATTCATCGGCTAATAATTACTTTTTAGAACTTAAAACTTACAGAGGTACCGAGTTAATTTGTTTAAATGGCAACGTGTACATATTTAACTAGCTTATAATATAGGAAATAATCTAATCAAGAAAATTATTGGTCGACAACAACGTGTTTTACATTAAAATTTCAGAACGTACAGTTGACGTTTTATATTTTGGCGGGACGAACAGTGAGGTGGTGAGATGGCTAGTAGTGATAAAAAAAAAAACCACACCCCCTTCTCACCTCCAGTCTATAATTTAAATTGTTGTTAACTTCTGATGTACTGACCAACCAGTCATTTTCTTGTTTACATTATATATTTGCTCTAAGAAAACTCAAAATATTCGCTTCCCTCTCATCAAAACATTTATTTCTACAGTGTGTTATCTATTTAGTGAAACCCTTCGGATACAATTATGTATTTGTCGTTGTTCTAAATCAGAGACTAGAGCCACAGTTTTTTATATTTATTGTACGAACCGTGGAAAACCTTTACTTTTAAACATTCTGTTCCATTACTGATATTTTTGAAAACAAAAATTCCCATTCCGGATCGGCTTTTAAATATAAAAAGGGTTCCGATTCGAGAATCAGTTTTTTAAGTTCTATTCCAGTCCCCGTCACCGATGTATTTTTCATTTATTTTGAAATGCAAAGAAAGCAATTGGAAATCTATTAATTTTACTTTACGTCGTCGTCGTTATTATTTATTAAAAAAGTTTACTCGTGATCATTATACTCTTGAAATTACTTTCATTATTATTCTGTTGTATATCGCGGTGTTTGATGTTCATAGAATTCTTGTGAATAAAAATATTAGTTTTTGTTGGCGTCACGAGTTTTAAATATTTCATCCTTAAACTTAAAGTGCTTAACTTTCATTTGTTATTTTGTTGTTATTAATTTAAATATTTTTTTGCCTTCGGAGTAATGACCGAGATAAAATAATAAATGGTATGTTTTATAGTTGGCGAGAAACTTTTTTTTTTTTTTTTTTTAAACTTGTAAAAAACTATTCTAATTATTGAACTACTGTAATATATATATATTATTAAATCTGTCACGAACTACTTGATCTATTTTAAAATACTGTATTGTTTTTTCAGTTGTATCCCAGGGTGATCAGTGGTAAAAAATCAACAGTATCAACGGTGGCAGAATGACAATCCATCGACGGTTGGACGACAGTGATAACAGCGCTGGGACTAAGGAAAGACTTGATTGATCATTTTTCGTTGACCCAAGTCGCAACGACCTCATCAGCATATCACCAGATATCATTATTATCTTTCTTTTTTTAATGCTAGACTTTTTCTCATATCTACTTTTCATTTTGAACTATTGTTTAAAATTTTTTGAAAATTCATTTATTTATTTATTTATTTCTCAATATGAATATTATTTTTGTTGTAATTAAGACCAAAGTTTATTTATGCGTTTTTGACCATGACAAATTTTATGATTAAATTATCGCGCGTCTTTATAAGAGATTTTTATTTTACATTAACAGTTAAGTGCACGCGAAAAATATGTTTCGCATCGGTACATAGTTTTTAAAACGAATAATACGGCAAAAAAATGCTTTGTCCAATTTAGGGCAAAACAAGACCCTTTGAGACACAAAAAATTGTATTTTTATCTAAGCGTTTCTACATTTGTACTTGTAAACATTCACACACACACACACATGTATACATATTCTTAAAAGACATCATCATTGTACCATAACGTTTTAACTTGAAGAGATTATCGTTTTCTTAGAATGAAAAAATGTGATGTATAAAAATAGTGTAAAACGTACATTTCTTTTCTTTGTTGTTTATCCAATATTATTGTTATTAAAATAAATTTTTATTATTTTACTCTGTCTCGGGTTCATTAATCGCAGCCCAAAAATTGCCAATACACGACTATTGATTATCTGTCGAGGTAAGTCGTTCGAGTTAAGTTTGCAGCCGGCGAATAACTATAAAATAACTTATTGTTTTCTCGACGTTTGACATACGAGAGATTACGAAATAAGCAAAAACAATTTGCCGGTATTAAATCCATGTGGAGTACTTGAAGTTGAATTATTTATTTTTGCATCTGATAGCAGAGAGCGTTCGGATGTTTTGTTACCTTAAAAATATACTCTTGGGGTTACACGAGACGTCGTGTCTCGCTACATAGTTACTTTTATTTTGAAACATAAACGGTGGGAATTTCACACAGGAGCCACGACCATATCGTATAATAACATATTCGAGTAGATACGCCGAAAGGAATTTGTGTGCAGCAAACATTGTGTGGCGGCGACGTACCGTTTAAGTAACACACAACAGGAGAAAAAATTGACATACCTCAACGATCCTTAAGTACGACGACCATCAGAAGATATTGCGACCCTAAATATTGTCGCTGTTTTGGTCTTATTGTTGTACTGCTTGTATAAAAAGAGAGTTATTATTATGCACGAAGACGAACAGCTACCGATAACCGAGAATGGGGTTGCACCGTGTTGGGTTTTATGACCAACAATGGTTGCGTTTTTTTTTTAATGCGTGTCTATCAATTTTTTTATGTTCTACAAAAATACGGCGGCGTTGCTGCTCCTAAAGCAATTTTTTAATACGCGTTTTCTTGCTGTAGACAGACTGTTGAACAAAATAAATACAAATATCTTCATTACATTATTTAAAAGTTGTTCAAAAACAGGTCGATATTATTCATTATGAACACCGACAAGAAAATAGTTAAAAATAATCACTACCCGAAAAGAGATTTTATATCATCCAAGTAGTTGTTTCAGATGAATAATGACTGAAAATTCCGTTTGAACAAAGACTATTAAAGTCAAAATATTATTTTACGAAAAGAAATATTTGTACCTATTTTATTGTTGCACTTTAAACAATCCTCCGAAACATGATTTAGTTCCTTTTTCCGCCGTACTGCTAAAAAGCAACGCAATACGACATCCAATTTAAAAAAATCACTTGTAAAATTGTCATTCATTTGAGAAATGCGAACGTCGACTTAAAACAAATACGAATTATATTAAATTAGCACAATTGGTTGTCTGAAATTGTTCCAAAGATTTTCTTAAGAAATTATAAATGCCTTTACACTTCATTTACTTAGAAATAATGTCTTCCGTTTCTCTTGCAGTCTTATACCTATAAAATGTATTATGTTCTCAACATTCATTTTTCAATTACTTTATGTTATATAAATGACTAATGAGAATAGAGTTCAGATAATCTTATTATCAGATTTAGTCGTTGACGATTTGTTTCTTAAATTATATTGTAAGTTTATACAGATAATATCAAACTTGAATTTCATAAAAAAATCTTATTATAAAAAGTATGAAAATACGACGCCACGTCGGATTTATAAATACATGTTTTCCAATAACTTTATTTCAATAATAATAATAATAATAAGCAGGACTCGTATGTTTTGTATTTACATGTTTTTTTGCTACATAGATAAACAAACATGCTAACAAATATTTTCTACAACAACAGTAATAAAACGGTTTATATTGCAATTTTTTGCTTATTATTGGCGTATGGCGCAACTTATTTATATATTTGAGTTAATCGCGTATATTATTTTCTATAAACTCGGTAAAATCGACAGGTGTCAGAGAATCTATACAAATGATAATGTAATTAAAGGCCTTATAATTTATTGAATTCTTTTCTGAAAATATTTACAAGTTCTTAGTATACTCGTGTTTGACTGTAAAGAATACATGAGTAATAAAATGAAAATAACGTTATGGCACAATTGCTACCGCTAAAATATCGATGCATATTTTTTATTCCAAAAAAAAACATGAATATTTCCATCATACAAATTTTAATGCAAATTTCTGAAATTTTTTATTAACATTTTGTCAATTTTTAGTGCACGAGTCCTAATAATAAGTGTCATATTATTATGATTTCATTGTATAATTTTTGTACTTAAAGCTCGAGGACAGCAAAGAAAAGTTATAGTTTTTAGACAACAAACAAAATGGTAAATTTGTCTTTTAAGTTTTTTACTTTCACTAAATTTAAAAAAAATACCTTCATATACCTTAGGACATACATTTTTATACAATACAGTGGCTGATAAATAGTATACCATTTATTTAAAAAAAATATTTATATTTAAATAACTATTTATAAAATAATTTACCACCCAGCGGTAATATTTTGTAAAGAAATTATTTTTCAACATTTTATACTTATGATTTAATAATTTTCACCTTTTTTTTCTCCTAAATCTCCTATTCGTTTATAACAGTTTTTTTTTTAATGCAAAATTTAGCATTCTACATTGTGTTTTGTTTAGGTACATTTGATACCCAACTTTAATAGTCTACGTTATGTTTGTAGAAAAAATACGCTACATGAACTTTGAGAAAGCCCCTCCTCATCAACTTCATGGTAAGTGGATTGTAACCGGACACAGGATAGTCACGAATTTGACAAGGGTTATAAACGATACCAAATATTTTGTACATTTATGTCATAAAAATAAAACAATAAAAACTGTAAGAATTTTCACATTAGTCATTTCACTTACTTTACAACTGCGTCGCACGTGTATTACATTAACGCCGCGCATTATACGAAATACTCAATAGATTCTACGAGATAAATCAGTGGGACTATTTAGTTTAAAAAAACACAGTTGTCTCGGAGATATAATATATCTCCGAGACAACTGTGTTTTGCAACACGATGTGGCAATACATTTTAATTTATCTGATTGTAAATTAAGAATCCAAAATAAAAAAACACATCTATACAATTAAAATATTTCATTTAAATAAATACATTGAACAGTTTTCGATAAATGGATATTTATTTGGCGAATTTAAATTTCACTTACATGATGTGAAAAGTATCCTGAATTGGATTAATTTCAAAAAATAGTTTAATCCCAAATGGGTAATTCTATCGAAAACTTTGGAGCCGATTACGTTATTTTATAAGGGCATAACAAATATTTGTAGGTTCGCAGACTTTATTGAACTAATTAATTATTGAATTGTACACACGCATTTATAAGAAACACTAAATTTCCATTTAAATGATAATATTTATTAGTTTGTTGCTTTTGTAAATAAACTATTAGCAGTTGATTAGCTAAATAAAAATGATTTTTCACTCGATTGGGCAGATTATAAAAGATAGAAAGAGGCTCACGACTTCCTAACCTCGTTTTTTTTTATTCGATAAAGCGTTTAACTAGCTGAATTTGGGACAATCAAGATCAAAACTGGCAACGCGTCGTTATTTTATCAAACTGACATTTTCCATTACATTCAGTGTTTTTAAATATAACATTTCTGTTGGGAATTGAATGGTTGAACAAGTATTTAACTTCATTTGCATTCCTTTCTTTTGAAATGTAAAATGTACGAGAAGAATTTATACAAAGGTAATGTTAAAAAGGCTTGATATATTGGATTTCTAGTTTCATCCAGGACTTCGTTTGTTGAAAGGTAGTTAATCAGGAATTCAAAAAGTCTACATTACAAAATACTGACTAATGTTTGTATATTTCTCATACGATAGAAAATTTTAGATTATATGAAGTTTGGATCGTCAGTTTTTTTTCCGAGATCCATCACACTTCGTATTCTAACTAGTGTAAAAATGATCTCAACGAAAATGTAGACTGTAATACCTAACAACTCAAAGTTAAAATTAGATTGTTATATTTTTAATGAAAATCATTGACCATTATCAAAAATTATTATAAATATCAAAAATAAAGAGCAATCCACCACAATTGGTAGAGTTGGGACAAGTATAAATGATATCCAACAATGATTAACATCACTATCATAATACGCTTCTGTGTGGATCTGTTAAAATTCACTATAATTTATATATTTGTAATTTTACAATGTGCAAACTTTGCCTTAAATATAACAGAAAACTTGTTAAAAATTTTTTAAATAATACATCAAGAAACTCATTACTATATAGTAGTATTTAAATAGGAGTGCGATATTGCTAAATTCATAATATAATTAAAATATTGGTATGGTTTATTAAAGTCCATTATTGCCAAATTAATTACGCAAACTATTTATCAAAAATTAACCATATGAATACTACAAAGTGATAAACAATATCAATAACTTATGGAAATTTCTGCTTCAGCGATCATTTTCTTACAATAGATAATATATAATACATAAATCATTGAAACGATTTTTTTTTCTCAAAATAACTTACGTTTAAAACATTTTTAGGTTTTAGTGTTCCTGACATAGCAGAACATTTTCAAAAATTCAAATTTAAGTATTACAGAGAATTTTTATGGAAAGACATAAAAAAAAACGTACCATATAATATCAATACCTTCTCAGTTTTGAAGCTAAAAATATTTAGCAAAAATATCATCAACAAATTCACACAAACTTGAGTCCAATAAAAGTGATTTAAAAAAAATTATAATTGCATATAAAATTACAATCTACTTAAGTTAATACGTAAATTATGCTAAATAACTTAGAATGATTGGATTTTCATTTTTTTTTTCTAACGTAAATACTTAATATTATTTAAGACACAATAATTATTTTCCAAGATGAGGCAAATATTTTTATTTCAATGCGAACATTTTAAAATTTTAAGTAAAATGATCATAAAAAACATCTTCTTTAATTAGGCTACAGCATTTATACATATGGAATATTATATGTAATATTTTATTGAATTACACACATTGAATGTAACACTCTATATATATATATAAAATTCTACTGTGTTTTTACTTATGATATGCTTCTATATTAAAATGCACTTATCAAACAACTATATTACTTCAAGTTTGTACTTATCGATAATTTATATAAAAAATCGATTTCCAGAAACTAACCATTAATTATAAACGGTAAAAGTGAATAAAAGTTAATAAAAATTAACAAAATTTCAATGAAAACTTATCTATAAAGTTATCAGTTTTGCTGAACTAAATTTCTTGATTATTACTTTATATAATAACAAAATAATGCTAGTTAAATACGTTATCTTCAAAATTTGGAAATAATATTCTCTTACTAACTACTAATATGGTAATCTAAGAACAACACTAAAAAATTGAACACTTCATCGTATAAATAAATTGAATCCTTAGAAGAATATTCTAATTTTTCATGAAGGTTTTTTGATAACTGTATAAATACATAAATATTGAAGTTCCTTATTTTAATAGAATTACTTTAAATCGATTCAATGAAAATAGTTGTTGAGTACTTGTAAGTATTTATTTTATCTAGCTCAGATATTTGAAGTCCTCTATTTTATATATTATCAATAATTGTGAAATACTATTTGTAATAAGTACCTCATGCTTATTCAAGGTCAATAATCATAACTATATATAATAACAACACTTTTCATAAAATAAGTCAAATAAAATAATTTGATTTACTAGTAGAAAGTAACAAAACATTTTAATATTGACAAAGCTAAACTTAAGAAAATTTCGTTAATTTTATGTAAGTAAAAATAGTAATAGTGTAAATGAACTCCGAGGATATATAAATTTTTTTTGAGTTCTGAGAAGATCTAACACCTCAATTAAAAAAAAAAATAGAAATATTTTCGTAGTTGATCATTTTATATAAACAACAAATGCTTGAATTTTAAAGAAAGTTAGAAGATATTCTTATACAGTAAAAGTCATTTTTATTTTTCATTTTATTTATCGACAGAGATCCTTATTTCTATTATAACGTTTAAGGCCATTTATATTCAAAGTGTATTCATATTTATTATCACCTTACTATGAATATTTTCGATCGGACAGTTTCTATTATCATAAATGCATCAATCGTTTTTATCTATACAAAGACCCATTAAAATTCAAATACTTTTGGTTGCTTATTAAACGCAGTCTATATTGAAAAATATGTATCACCAGATCAAACATCGATGTGATAAGTAATGTGTTTTTAATTTATTGATGTTAATAACAAACTGTGCTAAATTCAACAAATATTAATTTAATAAAATCAATATTTTCAACTATGAAACTAATATCCTTTTCAAACAAATGACTGATATAAAAATAGTTTATCGTATTTGGTTGTGTTTATTTATAAAACCAATACATGAAAAATACATCACAATAACTATAGAAAAAATAATTTCAACCAACATTAAAAAAGTTATATACAAAATCATAACAAGAAAGCATTATACGATTTAGACTTTGTATCAAAATGCTTTTAATATAATACTTAATAATAATTTCAGATAAAACTAAACCCAAATCAAATTTGTAAATCAAATGATGACAAAATCAAAGTTAGGTACTAAAATTAAAATACAAGGATGATTAAAAACCCGATTAAATCATACATAAAAATCGTTGAAAGTTAAAATGTTTTGATGGAAACAGCTGCCGTCCTAAGATAAAGTATACTTTTGTTGAGCTTAATACAGCACCGCCGTCGCCTTATTTCAAGAAGAGTTTATCTTATTATTTATCATATTCGCATCAGTCAAAAGATAATGTTATTATAGTATAATTATGTATATTATACAGAACATACTATAAAATAATTGTATCACTAATACACGGACACTACAGTAAAAATTTGGCCTTAATAAAACAATATTTATATAGTAATGACTTATAATAATTTTTTTTTCTATAAATAATGATAACAATGATGTAGGTCCATTGATATGTGATAATGATGTGTGCTGAAAAATCCATCGATGGTTAAAATCTAATTTTCCATCCGATGAAGTTCAATAGAAACACACAAAAAATAAAAGAAAGTTCAGGAAGACTGTAAAAAAATAAAAAAACATTAAATCGCATCTAGATTTTAGATGTAAAACAAATGTTAATCATTTTTATGACACTTGCCATCATATTTGAGAACCTGCATTGGTAAATGTGATCAAATACAAAATAACAGCACCCGTTAATATTCCAATATTCTGTAACAGTAATCCTAAGTACGCGGAATTTTTACTCTCTGTCAGATTCTCGTCAATCATACTCTTCATTTCAGGAGTCTGTAAAATTCAACAAAAATTAAATATGCTGATGTTACACATTCTTATAATACAATAAGCATAATGATTGTTAAGATTATTTTTATTGTAACGCTGCAAGTTCACAGATTTGTACAAAGAAATAATTAAACTCGGTACAGATACACTGCCAGGCGTTGATCATATTCAGTCTCAATCTATTTACCAATATTTCTAGAACCTTTAAATTGCATCGATAAATCTCCGCTTCTATTTTTTCCAAAAATTATAACACATAAATCTAAGCAAACCCTTAAAAATATATTTTTTATTATGTTGAGTTCTGATAACTTAATATAATATAAGTCAATTGACGTCTAATAGAATTAAAAGTAACCTATTTACTAGATTAATTTTGTTTAAATTTGTTTAAAGTAATTTTTAACAAAATAAAAATATATTTTTCAATTTCCTAATAATAATACTAATAACAATAACTAAAATAAATAACCCTTATTTATTTTTATTACAATCTATCTGACTGTAACAGCTTTACACTACTTTTTTTTTTAATATAATTCGTAGTAATGAATTTGTTAAGAATTCGTTTATTTGTCAACATTTTATTTCAATAAGGAGTTTTGTTGTTAGACGAATAGAAATTAAGTAGAAATTGCTCTTGTTACTATTCTTTAATACATTTTCTACTTTTGTAATGACCCTATAAAAAAGACTAATAGATACTAAACGCTTAAATAGCTACAGCACTGAAATCGAAAATAATATTATTTCTAAATAAGCTAACTATACAGGATGATTGAATTTTCTTTGGCTTATCTAAGTAGTATATATTTCTCGAATTATAAATTGTTAAATGCTTTTCCGTCCAAGTTCTTTCATAAGGTTACCAATTTAATTGTTTAAATGGTCACATATATCTTTAACTAGTTCATGTAATAGAAAATGATCTCATTATAAGCAAATGACTGTTCTTTAACAACTATTGAACCAATATTTCATGATTTATAAATATTTTATACCTGAGCGGAATGAGATCACGGAATAGAATTGCTTGAAATGGTAAAAATAACTAACTCGCTCCTTTCCCCCAGTCTAAATTCAAAATGTTAATAATATTTCTATTGTATGAACTAGTATGTTGACATTAAAAACATTTAAGTTGGTATCTATTATAAGAAATAAACCTCAAAAATATTTAGTCACTTATAAATCAATAAATAAATAATACTATACAAAATAAAATAAAATTTTTATTATTTTAGGAGAAATTTAGAGATCAGCGATAAATTAATCACCTTGTATAGTCATAAGCTATATTCATTAAATACAATACATTTATTATAAACCTTTAGCTATTGTTTTTAATGATAATATTAAAATTAGTTGTCGATTCCTAATTTTTTTACCTCAGAGAGAAATGACTTAGATCAATTTTACAGAAAGGGAAATTTGACGTTTAATGTAGGTAACATAGTTGTCATTGAATAAATGAGGTTTATATATGAATTTTTTTAATTTATTAAATTTTTCTTCTGAATGGTCGATCATAAACCCATCCACTCCCCGTATCAACAATAAAAAAATAAGATATCACATTTCAAGATCATTTAAAAAATTGCCTTAAATAAATCTGCATTAAGTATATTAATATTTATTTTATAACCCTCGTGAAAGAATAAACGTATAAACGTAAAAAAAAAAAACATGAACAAATGTATTTTATAACAAATACAAACACTTAGCTAACTTAATGTGACAGAATGAAAGCGGAAAATGATTTTGATATTAAGCTATTAAGCTAAGAAGAAGATGAGATAAATAAAAAAACATTACTTAGAGGTAAATTATGGAGAGTATAGTGACTATAAAAATTGTTGCACAGATTAAGGAGTTGAGAATAAAAAAAAGTCATCTCGCATACGTTATACATAATTTTTTTGTAATTAAATATGTAAACTAGTACATAAAAACTTATCGTAGACAACTTTAAAAAGATTTATTTTGAAATCAAAATAATCAATTTTTAAATTGGTTTATATTTAGTTGAGTTGAATTTGAGTTTTATTGTAGAAGTTTATATGTGTAGAAAAAAAATATGTCGAAAATTGTTAGGAAAAACTTGCAAGTTAAAAATTTCCAAAGAAGTATTTCAACAAAACTATTCTAAAAAGCACGTCTAGTATAATCTGAGATAATAATGGAAATTTACATTTTAAAAATCAATATTATAAAATAATAATAAAATTGTAGAATCTCTTATATACACGTTTCGGTATAAAATTGTTGAGAAATGAGAAAAGTATTTTTCGTGCTTATAAGTAATTATTATTCATAATATATTCAAAATTATTATTGACCATAAATATATAAATGAAATTATTACCAAAAACAGTCATTATAACCGAAACTCTGTTTTATAATCTAAATAGCATAGTTGTTAAGTTCAAAGTACAATTTATTAAAAAATGAAATAATAAACAAATGTCTTATGTAAGATAAATTCTATATTATCAAGTGTCAATTGATTTTTTAATCTATGCCATCACGACAACACGTCTGTCCATCCATTATTCTTTGAGTTTTAATAACATAAAAGCTCGCTATTGAAAGTGTTAACAATGATATTTAAGTTTGGTATAATAATTACACGAGGGAATAAACGAATGTTGATTATTTTTTAATAACAAAGCCGGGGGGGGGGTTTTGTTATTAACCACCACACATAGATAATTATTTCAATGTCATTAAATAGTTTATATTTTTAATGCGTACGCCTTAGTAATTTATTATAATAAAGAGTAATTACATTAATACAACTTTTTATTGGATATCGGATGTGTTAATTTTTCTTTGAAACATTATTTTATTTTGAAATTAATTCAAATTAAAATAACCATTTTCAATGATATTGTACGCATATTCTTATGGTTTTAATGCTACTAGTTCTTCATTATTAACGGGTTAATGCAACACTTATTAGAATATAAAGAGGCTATTTACCTCATTTGTATTATAATTATCGTAAATTATTGGCAGGGTTGACTTCTGTGTTATCACTTAAGAAACTCTACACACATACGCGAAGAAGCCATTCGACTAACAGAATGATGTAAACGGGTACAAATTAGTTTTGCGTACAAGCTATTTACATTTTATACGATGCAATTTATTCAAGAACGTTTATGTGCGTTATTACGAACACGGCTTTGTTATTGTTTAGTAAGCAAACCATCGAGAAGGAAAATCAGCCGCTTTTATATTTGTAAAAAACCTCTCATATTATACCGTATTCTTGTGTTAATGCAAAGTGTTGAAGTATTGCACGCTGCTTTTTATTGTGCTTACATAACACAACACGGGCTCTTACGCAACGGGTTAAATTAATTTTATGAATCTTGTTGGCTTCGAAAGCGTCGAGAGCAAGTAATTAGAAAATTAAAAGAAAAAATTATTACGCATGCATTTCTTATCTTAAATTTATATAGACTATAAATAATTTATTCAGTAAAAACTTTGTTAAATTCAATTGATATTTATTTGAATTTAACGATGGGCAAGTATTAAGTAATAGTAATTTTTTCGTGTTTAATATTACAAAAGTAAACAATATTGATTTTTATTTTAATATTTAGGAGTTTTCTACTCGGAAACATTTCAATCAAATTATAATAATAATTACACAATTTATATTTATGAAGTTTATATGAATCACTGGAGCGGAAACTGTCGTATAATAATCATAAAAAAAACAAATACTGAGAATTATAGTGCAGATTCAATTTTTCATTTTAATTTGTTTTTATTTCAATTGAAATATGTCTGAAATACATCAATTGCTAAACCCGCAACAACTATTGATATCGGATAAAATTATAGAAGTTAAAATGTAATAATGAACGACTACAATTTTCAATGTTTATATAGCGATTTAAAAGATAAAGATAATAATATTTACAAAAGATAAAATTAAAAGCAGTCCATGAATTTCTAAGTAAACTTAAACCTTATTATTGATATTTAAAAAAAAAAAAGCACAGTGGGATGCCGCATAGTTGGGACAGGTATGGATGATATCTGACAGTGATTTAAAATCAGTATCATAAAAAACGCTTCGATGCAAATCTGTAGATAGTAATTCATTTTTAGAATGGATTATTTAATTACTTTAAATACAACATGAACTCCTATTTCCTTATCTATATCCTGATTATATGATAGGTCGTCAGAATAATTTTTTTTTTAATTATAGTTTATAACATAGGCTTTAATTTAACATATGTTTACAGAACGCAGTATTTCCGGAACATTTTATAAAAGTTTAGTTGAAAAAATTTGTTATTTTGAATTCCTTATGGCCAGGTAAATTGTCAGATTTTCATTAATAAAAATAAATTATATTGACTTGGTCATTTTGAAAAAAGTAATGACAGTTATAAGTAAAAAAAATTGACAAAATGTCGAAAATTAGCGATTTTTAAAATTGTATTTGTTTTGGATGTTTCTCCCATTTACAAGTAACGAGGGAAATTTTTTCAATTTTTAAGAGCGATATCTTCAACTAGATACGATTTGTAAACTTTAAACATATCATTGATAAAAATCGGTCAGGTGAGAGCTGATAAATAATGTGACAGGTAAAAAAAAAAAATCTTATCAGTTCCTAATACCTTCTCAGCTTTGCATCGAAGCTAAAAATTAAGAATAGATAAATTGTACCAATGTTTTAAGAATATGCTAAAATAACGACGCATCACAATTTAATGATTTTTAGTAAGTAGAAGTGTCAAGATAACTCGATATGGAACAAAAAGAAACTCCAATTAAATTATTTTAGAGTCATATTAACCTAAACAATGATTAGATTTTTATTTCCATTTATTTGAGTATGTCTTATTAATGTAAGAATAAATGCCTTGTATTTAAGACTATGTACAAAAAATTTAACAGATATAACAAATGTTTCTTCGTTGAAAATATTTGAATTATAGTGTATATCTTATAAAATACAATTCAATCCCGAATATATGGACATAAAATCTATAATAGGTTAAAATCAAATCAAGAGAATACTAAACTAAAAGGCAGTTAAAAGAAATAACGTCAAAACATTAAATCTCAAAACCTCATATAGACAAGTTGTTAGGGGGAAGTAGGGATTTACATTAAAATCTTTACCTGCATCCTTTTTTATCTGAAAACGGATCAGATAGTGTTTTGTTTATTTCAAAACATTAGTTTCTATTCAGCGAACTTTTATTCGAATTAAAGCTTTCGATTTTTACCCACATCTACTTATTATAATAGGATTTTGGAGCATACCAAAAAAAATCATCATAATAAAAATAATGATAATAAAATCAATCCAATAGGAAAATAATAAACTTTTCTAAGGCTTAGTTGATGTTTTCAAGTATCTACTGAAATGATCTTACACAACTTTTAGGAGAATTTTAGGGAAAACTTGTTAAATTACAATGAAAAGTTCTTGAGCAACGATTATTAATTTCACTTGCATTGTTTTAACTGTTTTTATGAAGTTGAGATTGAAAACATTTGGAGTTATTTCAATAATATTTACAAAAAAATATATTCCAATAGTATTGTAAATAATTCCGGTTTACGAATTTAAATATTAATTAAAATCACGAGAATTTACTGTACTGTTAATACAATAAGTATAATTGACCTTTTAGTATATCTATTTGCAGCACAATAAAAGAGATAATAATTTATTTTTAATTTAAAAATGCTAATATTTAAAAAAAAAATTATCTATCTTAAGAATAACGCTTGATAGAACAATTTATTTAGTCAAGTTAAAATTATCAATAAGTTCACACCGATTAACTTGACATTACTAAAGAAATTTGTACATAAGAAAACAAACTCGAAAGCTTTGGTTTATTATTTAATAGTTAAAAATTATTTAAATCATCTTTTTGAGATGTTATTATTCCGTTTGATCTTTTATATTGAAAAACTTCCGTTAAAATTGCATCTATAAAATCAATAACTTAGATTTATGTTCATTCGAGTCATAATATAACAATCTCTACACTGGCACTAAATTATATAATATATTCATAATTTAATATTCATTATAAACTATTTTTTTTTTTTTTGCAGTAATAATTTTTGTAGAGGTTTTCGTTATAAATACCTATTAAACAGCAAAACTCCAGGAATATTAAATATCGCTTAATGATACAAAACAGTTTTTTTATACCAAAAAAACTGCATTATAAATCCATTACAAACTCATTTTCATTTTTATTAAAATCTTTTTTTAATAAATGACTAGTTAATACATAACTTTATAGTAGCGTTATTCTAGTTTCATTCTAAGTTTTTATTTAATTTAGATAAAAAATGAAAAAAGCCAACTTAACACTAAAAATTTATCAAATTATAGAAGAAGTTAAACGGCTCTGTTTACATGCGATTTCAATTGTTTTGTTATTCACTTCATATCTACGCATTTCCGTATGCATGTATGTATCTAATTGTTTTTTAATAAAGTCGATATTTGTTTTGAAATTATTTCCATTAATACATATCATCACGTAGAATAATATAGTAGGTGACATAATCTGTGTGCTCTTCAATGTCAAATGTGTAACTACTTCCAAACGATAGTAGAATATAATAAGCTAACAAAATGTTATTGAGAAAACAAACATATTGGTTTGGTTCACATTTTCTTCGCTGCGTACAACGTAGACATAAAAAATCTTAAGTATATAGTAAAACGTATTTAATACTTAAATATTCTTTATTCAAAATTTACTTCAGATAATAAATAAATTAATGAATATTTCAATAAATACTATTCGTTTAGCTTCTATCGTACATTATATCAAAAGTAATTAATGCACTAGATTACCTTTTAATTACCAATAACAAATATACAACTAATATTTTTAATTAATAAATAATAATAAAAATATTTTTATATATTAGCCTTATCTCATTAAAAAAATAGTGGCTACGCTACTGACCCTTAAACTAAATCAATCTCAATCAATCAGCTTTTACGTAAAAAACATAATTGATTTTACAAAAATACTGGGTTTAATTACAACTTCAAGATAAATACTACAAGCATAATTATTATTGTTATTATAAGCGTGATAATAAAATAGATATGTACCACTAGTGATACATCTCGTATTGGTATACACTCCACTATTTAATATATTTAGTGAATTAGTAGCGCCATTCACTAAATATATTAAAATTGTCGTCCTTAATAATTACTTATCCTAATTTATTATTAACTCATCAAAATATTTTGTACAAAAATCCTAAAAATGGCTATTTTCAAATTAAAAAAAAAAAATTACTGTGAAATGATTATTTGATCAAAATATAATGGACTTGTCATATCTTCATGACTTATTCTGTATTATATTTTTTTAACTGTAACGTGTTAAATGATGAGATTAAAATTAACAATAATGTGCACGCAGATGATAAATTTGTATGTAACAAGTTGGTTTTATTATTAGTTTAATTACCTTATCAATCACTTTTACGCAGCCTTTTACGTTAAAAAAAAATAACATAACAATATTGACTTATTATGAAATGACACTAACCAGATGTGATAAAGTAATGAACAGGAACAATCCACCGGCAAAAGAGAACACAAAACCCGAATATTCCATGTTGCCTAAGGATATACCAATAACCATTCCGACAAAAGCTGTACATGCAGACAAGAAATTGAAACATAGTGCGCGCCGAAACGACAAACCAGACTGAATGAGTATAGCAAAATCTCCTTATGATATCAATAACAAAATATAATTAATTTTAATTTTAGTGAAACAAAAAATGTTGTGACACCTATTCTTACCTATTTCGTGGGGAAATTCCTCACAAGCTATTGCCATTGATATAGATATACCGGTTAACACATTTTCTGAAAAAGCTGCTCCTATTGACATTCCATCTATTATATTATGTAGACTGTCACCAAATAACACCAGTAGAGCCAAAGGCGATATTGGCAATTTGTCATCCTAAAAATAATTGTTTGTTCCAAAAAGAGTTGATAATTTTTTTTTTTTAAGGAATTAAAAATGTTTGCATTTACAATCGTTTTGATCATTTTATGACTGTGACCGTGACCATGGTTGTGTGTTGTTAACATTTTTATTTCGGTTACAGTACCACCATTGGCGATCGGAACATGGGTTCCCATTTCATCGTCTGCCACCTATAAAAATATTCTATTCATGTTGATGTAAATACTACAGAGCATTATTGACAATTTTTTTTGAGAAACCATAAATTACCTTTTGGTTATCTTTGTGGAAAAAAATTGATGCCAATATTTCCAGATTATACAACCCCCAAAAGCTAATCCACATTATCACAGCAGTTATTCGAAAATGAGGAAAAGAATCTGAAATTTTGAATGCCTAAAAATAATAACTATGATGAAACAACTTTTTGTTCAAGTACCTCATAAAATAAAAACTTCATTCTAATAGCTGATAAGATTAAACAATTTTCCATTATTTTATTGAATAATGATTAATATTCTAAGTTTGACTATGTAAATAAAATAAGGTTATTTAAATGTTAAATATTACAGACAGAAGTCTTAATCACAAAAAGTTAACGTTAGAAAAAAAAAAGTTTACTTAATGGTGGACAAAACTTATATCAGCAATCAAATAAGTCCGATGAGGGCTATTTTTTTTTTTTTTTGAAAAAACAATTTTTTATAACATTTAGATAGATAAAAAAATAGAACTAATATTACTAGAGCCCAAAACTGTCGGAACCTAAGTGAGAAACATGCATAATTGAAACTAGTAAAAATTTATATTTGACAGTAGTTCAAATAGCTTTAATAAAACGCTTCGATGCAAATGTTCATGAATATACTTTTGAGAAATTGAAAGGGGTTTAGTAATGGACTAAGCCACAGGTAGTAGGAAAAATACCCGGTAAGCTATTACTTGTGTTTTTATATACTATAAGTATATCAGTGCATGAACCTTAATTTTGAGGTCCGGTCCAATTATCTATAGAAAAACCTTGGATCTGCTTGACCAAAAACATTGACAATGTTTGGCTTATTCCCCAAATCCAGCTTATTAGTTAGCTCATTTTTAGCTTTAACCCTCTACGTCCTCGCATTTCTTTTAAGCAACATTAGAAAAAAGTTGTTTTTATCGTTGTAATGAATTAAATACTATACTACAATTTACACTAAATATTTATTTATACTAATATTATTGAACAGTGGTACCAACACTAAAATACGTAGCGCAAATAGCATAACAAAACTGGGATGAAAATAATTTTTAAAAATATTTTAGAAAAAAATTGAAACAAACTAATAAAATTATTATTGCTGATTATTTACACTAGGAAAAGTTATATTTAAAAGATTTTTTTTTCTGCAATATTTCTCTAACAATATCCAATCATAATTCGGGACTTGCCCATGGAATTTTCAGGAGACTAAATCTAATTATATCACCCCTTAAAAATGTTTTGATAAAAATATTGCTTTTCTTAATTTTTGGGTGGGCTAAATTCTAAACTAGGGAGAAAGTTTATTTTCCCAAGCCATTTCTCTACGTATATTACATACATATATACATATATATAGAGTGACTTAGAGTATAGATTTTCGTCGTATTTGCCTCTAGTTCGCCGCTGGTAAGATTGTATTAAATTTAGAGAGAGGTTTGAATTTTTTAAATATGCCATAATTTACATATTGATTATATTTTACTTAATGAAATAATGACGTAGTACAATATTCTGCGCTATTTTTATTAAATATATAAAATACAATTTTGACTTTTTTTTTATTAAATAAATTACATAATCTTCAATTAGAAATATATTAGAAACTTCGGCACATTGTTAAATATTGAATTACATGATATATTACTCTATAGGGATGGTTTGGAGAGGCGAATATTAATATTAAAGAACAAAACCTACAAATATTGTCGACATACGGTAGAATGAGAAAGACTTTTTTATTCTTATATTGGTAATTATAATTTATATGATATTTTATATTCTTTGTTTGCATTTTAAAATTATTATCATAAGTTTGATCAAAGTTCCAATGATAAGAAAAAAAGTGTTAAAATAAAATTCATACTTATTCAAAATAAAATTTTCTCTTAAATGGATTTATTTGGTTGTCGTTTCGAGTTAAACAATAACATACCTCTGGTATTAATTGAAAAATTGCTGTACTCGATAATGATCCTGTCGCTAAACCTAAAAGTATTCTCATTACAAAGCTCTTTTTTCTTGGATCGTTAAGAAGAGGCCAAAATAGTGCTCCGATTAATCCAGACAAACTTATGACACTTACGGCTATGAAACCACCGATCCATGCTAGATGAAAAAAATGTATATTATTCTTTTTAATATGTATTTTTGAGATCAATTTGTAGATTATTAATTACAATGATAAACATTTTGCTTCGCGTTGCGTAAATCATTAAATTCTTAGTTACCTTCTGCAGTTGTCGATCTTTTTGTATGGTATAAGTGCTCCGTACTTACAGACAACGAAGAAGTTCTTGTCAAGTTACCATTGTTATAACTGATGAACTCCGTTGAACAAAAATTCGAATTAGTATCATTATTACACTAAATAGAATAAAAAATAAACGATTTAAACTCTATGCGTGAACTTAAAATAAATCAAATCTTAATAGTAAAAAATTTAAATAAATAGTTTAAATTTGAATCTTTTTTTTTAAAATATTTAAAATATTTGACACCTACTTAAACATATTTTAATATTTTTTTAAAAAATAAGGTCCAATTTTTTTTTTTTTTTTGGAGTGTGTGAAAGTATTTTAGGAAAAAAACGTTATAGATTTTACAATTTTTGAGTGTTATAAACTTTAAAGAACTTTTTTGAATTACTAAATAAACCTTTTTCTGTATATGTATCAAAAAAAAAAAAATACTGATTATAATATTAAATATTTATTCTATTCTTCCTTGTAACAATGTTTGTGTATAATATCATATATTGTTGAAGATATCTAATTTAAATCATGAAATTTAAACAATAGATTTTGAATGAATGAAAATAATGTAAATAATGTAAAAAAATATAAAAGCTATTTAAATCCATCAACTACTCCTTTTTACTTACAATACACACATAGATTAATACACATAAACAATATAAACAAATGCCATAAGTAAAATAAGCCTTTAATCAGTTTTATACAAATAAAATAGCAGTAGGTAAGTATAATAAGCATTGATAATAACAGTAGAGTACTTTCATTCACTGCCGATAACGTTTAAAAACATAGAAATAAATTTGAATATTTACTTTATAAAATATTTAGGTGTCTAATATTATGACAATACTAATTCACCGTAAGTATAACTCTACGGCTGAAAATAAATGTATACAATAAAGCCATGTCAACCGAATTAATGCAAGGAATTTATTTTTAATATGTTTGATGTGAGGTTTATTTAATATAAATTTATATCCATGTTTTTAAATAATGTAAATCATATTCAACGATCATCAACAATATTATACAGAAATTATACACATGAAATTTTTTTTTTTAGTTCATCACTTAGCAACAAAAATATAAACATGAATTTTGTTGGTTGTTATTTTTATATTCTGATATGTTACAACTTATAACATATTCTGGATAACACATATGTGATTTTAAAAATATTAAAGCCGTACCGCATTCAATGGGAACCACAATAGCTATGCCTTCCCATTGACAGCAATATTCATCTCTATAATGAAGTCATCATATCTCCTTAGCTTTTATCCCAACTATTTGGGGTCGGCTCTACCTAACGATTTGACAGTTAATATACACAGGCTGTCAACTTAACGCAACAACCTCACTATGGCTAAGGGAGTCAGTGGGTAGTGTTAAAGTTCACGTATGGTCACCCATCGGGAAACCAACAGCAAACAGCGCAGTTAAACATTAGCACTAAAACGACGATTGATTAATTTACTACGCAACACCATGCCCCACTTATAAAATAAGGTGATTACAAAAAAAAAGGTTTAAAATTAGCATTTTTTAAACTATGCTTCCCTCCTATTAAGAAATTCAGAATGAATCGCTTTATTAAGATATAAATTAATTTGATAGTTTATAATTATAATTTGATTTAAAACATATGCAAAGTTTAAAAAGTATATTTCAAAAACAGTTCTGCTAATAGTCAAAAGTATTAGTATAATAGTACGAAAAGAATTTAGTAAATGATAACAACTCGACAAACATGTAAAAAAATTGTTTGGATTTTTTTAACTATTTATATTATATTGCATAGAATATGAGTAATTTAAAATTAAAATAACCAAATTGTTTAAAATAATTTTCAATAAATTACATTAAAGTAATTATATAAATGTTAGTTTTATATTACAACTTATCATCTATTCATATCTAGACATATTGTTAGTTAAATTTTATTTTTGTAGTTAAATCTACTGATGTGCATGCGTATGTACAACTTTCAATAAGATACTATTATTTGTTAGATATTGTAAACACGTGTACCTAGAGTTTTTACTTAAGAACAACTCAAAAACACTGACATAAAATATTCGGGGAAACTTAAGTAGCACACTAAATTATACTTTTAAACATTTATGCTATAATCTTAAACGGGTAATTATACAGGAAATTTAGTGGCAGCACTTTCCATAGAACCTTGAAACTTATAAAAGTAATTATTAGTTTATAATATTAAAAATACCTTGAAAATCATGCTGAAAATTTACGATAAAAAATAATTTAGTATAACAAAAAGGTGACAGTTGCTATTGATGTACAAATTTAAACATTCTCTGTAAAACATTCTTAGGTGTAGCGAATATCGCTTGCTAGGTCTAAAATATATTTTCGCGATAAAAAAGAACATGATATATTCTGTTCAATTTTTTAATAAATTTAGAATACAAATGAATGTAAATAAGTATTGTTAGAGAAGTATATTTTGTTGATTTTCCATTTACATTATAATATTAATAAAATTAATAAATCTATCACATTATTTATTTAGAAATTAAGTTTAACGTAGTAAACACATAGACAATGATATGCGTTATACACTAATAATAAATCAAGTCTTCATTGTTTGTTCTGATGGATCCAATCTAACTTAAGATAGTTAATAATGTTGACCAGCTTTTTCCAATTGTAGACATAAAATATAGGCATATTAGTGACAAAGTGGAAATCGAGCATTGTATACATAGGATAGACACAACTAGAAAAAGAGCATAAGGGACTAAACCCCAGACGAGGAATTAGCCCCCCCAAAAATGGAGGTAATTTAACATAATGTTATACAGAAAAAACTTAGGTTGGTAGAAAATTAATTTAATACTTCAACAATTTTTTTCTAGTAGCGCCAATGATACATTTGTCAAAACCAATTATGCCGAGTCTTCTTCTTCCTCGCCTCAATCCCAACTTTTAGGTTCGGCCACCCTTATCCTAAACTTCCACTTGACATAATCTCCCACATCAACTACGCTCACATCAGCTGTCCTCATATCGTATTCAATAACATCCCTCCATCTCTTTTTTGTTCTTCCTCTACCTCTTCTTCCTTCAACATTATTTCTATAACTGTTCTTACAGCTTCCGATTCTTCTCTCCTCATAACATGACCAAACCATCTAAGTCTATTTTCTCTCATCTTATCCACGATTGACGCTAAACCTATACTTTCTCTTATATGTTCGTTCCTCAGCCTATCTTCTCTAGTCACTCCACTAATTCATCTAAGAATTCATATCTCTGCTACACTCATTCTATGCTCTATTTTTTTGTCAACCACACAACATTATGAACCATACATCATAGCTAGTTTCACTACAGTTTTGTAGAATTTACCTTTTAGCCTTATTGGAATTTTTTTATCGCATAAAACGCCAGACGCTTCTCTTCACTTCAATCACTCGCACTTAATCCTGTGTTTTACATCCTCGTCAATACCACCGCTCTTTTGCATAACTGACCCTAAATACTTAATAAAACTTTCCACCTCTCCAATCACGTCCTCGCCAATTGTCACTGATCTCCTCATTTCACCTACCTCGTGTTCTCCTTTGTCAAACTAGTACTCTATATACTCTGTCTTACTTCTACTTATTCTTAAACCCTTTTTTTCAAGAGCTGATCTCCACACCTCTAGCCATTGATTGATTTCTTCCCTATTTTCTCCTATTAACACTCTATCGTCAGCAAACAACATGCACCACGATACTACTCCTGGTATTTCTCTAGTAATTTCATCCATCACTATAGAGAATAAGTAAGGTCTTAATACACTCCTACACTTACCCGAAAACTTTCTGTTACTCCACCTATGCTTTTTACCCTGGTACAAGTGCTATCGTACATATCTTCTATTATATTAATGTACCCCTTCGGTATTCCTTTTCTCTTTAATGCCCTATTTTAAAACCTCACTCGGTACTCTATCATATGCTTTCTCCAAATCTATAAATACCATACACAGCTTTTTCTTCTTTTCCCTAAACTTTTCTGTTTGTTGCCTCACACAAAATACTGGTTTTTAGATACCGACGTTTCATTTCTTATTCTCTTATCTATTCCTTTTTCCAAATTTTCATACTATGATTTATAAGCTTTATGTCTCTATAATTTCCACACTACTATATGTCACCTTTATCTCTAAATACCAGCACCACAATACTATTCCTCCATTCATTTGGAATTTTCCCTTCTAATAAGATTTTATTTAAAAATTCCTTTAACCACCTTATGCCAACACCGCCTAATATTTTTCATACTTCTACTGGCACTTCATCTAGTCCTACTGCTTTATTCTTTTTCACAGCCTCCCATACCTCTTTCTCACTAATTAAATCTACCAGTCCCTCATTCCACGAGATATCCTCTAATGTCTCTTTTGGATACTCCTCATTCAGTAATTTTTCAAAATATTCTTTCCACCTTTTTTCACATCGTCATCACTCGAGAGTACACTTTTATCAACACTTTTTATGCACCTTATATAATGATAATCTTTAGACCTTTTTTCTCTTACTTTTGCAAGTCTATAGATTTCTTTCTCGTCTTCCTTTGTTCCTAGTTTATCATACAACTTATCATATCTCTTAAACTTCACCTTACTGCATACTTGGCTTATTTTCAGAAGTGTTTATACTCTGTCCAATATTCTCTCTTATTGTTCTTCTGCCATAATTTGAACTGTTTTTCCTTAATCTCTATGATTTTCTGAATGTCCTTATCCCACCGTCAGGTTTCCTTGTTTCCAGGCATTTTACTCCTACTCTCACCAACAATCTCCTTTGCAGTATTCTTTACACAACTAGCAAATCTATTCCACACATCATTTATGTCTCCCCCGACATTCCACACCGTCCTTTCATTTACAGTCTTTACAAACTCTTTTTTATTTTCTCCTTTCAATTTCCACCACCAGATTTTTCTACCGTGTTCCTTCTGTTTTTGTATATTCTCTTCCCAGTACACCACAACTCCATTACCATCAGTCTATGTTGAGTAATTATACTCTCGCCTGGTATAACTTAACAATCTTTTACTCGCTTTACGCTATCTCTCTTCCACATAAAATAATTAATCTGTAATCTATTCCTACCAATCTTATAAGTTATATAATGTTCTTCCCTCTTTCTAAAATATGTATTAACCACAGCAAGATCATACCATACTGCGAAATCCAGGATTCTTTCTCCAGCCTCATTCTTTGTACTAAAATCATACCCTCCATGTACTCTTTCATATCCTCTCCTCTCATTACCTACATATTCATTCATATCTCCGCCTCTATCACCGCATTCTTATTGCCAGGTACCCTTGGCATCACCTCATCCATCTCTCTCCAAAACACTTCCTTGTCTATTTTATCACATCCTACTCGTAATGCTTAGACACTTATTACAATCAGCACTTTTTCCTCGAATATCAATTTTATGACTATAATTCTGTCACTTTTCCTAGCTACTTCTAATACTTTACTTTTCATCTCCTTATCCATTATTATCCCCACACCATTCTTTGTACTAGAAATTTTTAATGTTTTTTTAATGCAAGCTGAGTAATTTTTTTTTAATTTAACCAATGAAAAATAAATTTTATAATAATATTTTTCAAATGCTAGTCGCATTGAAAATTACGTGAGACTTATTCCCTCAACACTTAACTGTTAACTAGTTACTTTTAATATCACACTTTTGTATTCTGATGATAGCCCTGACTACTTAAATTGAAAAATAAACTAAATAACCCAATATTGGGTATATGATTAGCACTAACAAATTTCTCTACTTGGACGGATAATTGATTTCTATTGAAAAATGTAAAAAATCTGATACATTTTTAATCTAAAGTTCATTTTACCCAAATCAGTTTTGGTGTTAAATACAGTGACGGGGTATTTTATTACATATCGTTTTATCAACTTTGCCCATAACATAGATATTAAAAAATAGTACACTAATTAAATTAAATTTTTAATATTGTCAAGCAGTAAAAAAAACAAAACCTACAACCCTTGTCTTTTGAACTAAATCTGTTTCTGCCTACCATAGACAAATAAATTTTAATATCTTAATCTAAAAATAAATTTTATAAAAATGTTGAGATTGATTATATGATTTGATTTATTTTTTATCATTCCACATTATCTGCTTTGATTAAATATTACTTAAATTAATATAATAAATTTTATAGAATCTACTAATCATTAACACATTAAGTAATCCATAGTTGTTGTGATTATCTAATCGAATTCATAAATTAATTAATGTTTTACCATTTTTAAAAAATATAAAATAAATAAAAAAATGTTTAATAACATACTATATGAAAATAGCAACAAAAATGCTCAATAGAGTACATTAAAAAAGTGTAGTTGCATATTGTTACTAGGTTGTCTAAAATTTCAAATTTCTTTACTTCTATAAATCAGTGAATTCAAAATGGGAGCAATAGGTACAGTTACTTTGGTTTTTTAATAGCCCATATTAATTTCTAGCTTATAATATTATATAATTTCATAGACGAGGTAATTAATACAATATCAATACAATGAATTATTATAAGATACTTCTATCTGGTTCCTCAATATTGGCATAAATTAAATACTTATAAAAGAGAGAAAATGAGATTTTTAAAGGAGAATATGGTAGTACCCTAATTGTTGGGAAATTTTTTTTTTTTTTACTTCAACGTCATTGAACTATATATCATGATGATCATATTAAAGAAATCTTTTTGTTTATAAATTTACCCAATCGAGTTTTATCCATTAAAAAAATATTAATACAATTACAATAAATAAATAACCGATAAACCGTTGGAAAAATAAATTTTAACATGTAATAAATGTGAAGTATAACATGGCTTTATGGAAATTTCTAACTTTCATCAATCCAGCATATTTTAATTTTAAGACACATAAATACGAAACACGGTATCATTTATCTGTATCAAAATAGAAAAACAATAGTGTAGATTTACTTACTTTTGTCTGTGCTATACAAAGTTGAAGATTATTAGTTTCGAGATCACCGCATAACGGAGTTGAAGTAGAGAGTTTTTTCCAGCAGTTTTCTGGCTCAGACGATACAAGAATAGTGAAACTGATGACCACAGACAACACTAATTTGATTGACATTTTTATACACTTAAAACTTTTATAACTTAACCAACTTAATAATAAAGTATAAAAGAACTAAGACTAAAACGAAAAACGTAGAAAAACTTAAAAATTATTCGAAGCAGTATTTTGCTAGAAATGCCATTAAACTGTTATAAACAGTCTGTTGACTGCTTTCTAGGTAATAGGACATAACGAACTACTGATCGAATGGTGTGTCTACGTTTTATTAGTATAAGAATGTTACTAGAGTGTTAAGATATCAGCTCCGGGTTCGAAGTCCCGATAAGAATAATTGAATAATGCGACATAATCATTTAACTATTATTAAACTGTACATAAACAATAATAAAACGGTAAGAAATTCTACAGTAAACAAAAACAGAATGTCAAGTAAATTCTTAATCTGAGAGACACCATTTAAATGTTATAAATATTTATTAAAACAGATCAATTTTTCCTACCCTTTTATCTATTATTCATTTAATACAAAAAAAAATAATAATTTAAAGTCAAGTGGCTTGTTTTTAATGCATTATCTAAAAATAATGTACATAAATTGCTTATAACTCATTTAAAAAATATTTCTACGCAAAGAAATTTAAAACAGGATTAAATTATTTTTCATCAAAATGACTTCTTAATATTTCATACAAATAAAGAGTTAGAATTTATTCCTAAAGGTTCATATTTTCCTCAATGGACCTTGTTTTTCATATTTTTAGCTTAGATGCGAAACTGAGAAGGTATTCATTTTACTATGATGTTTTTTTTTATTTTTGAGTGTCTATTGCCACTTTTTCTCAACTCTCACTGAACCGATTTCTTTCAATGATACGTTAAAACATCACAAATCGCATCTAGTTGATGACATTGTCCTTAAAAATTGAAAAAAAATCCTTCATTCCCATAAATGGGGGAAATATCCAAAACAAATACAATTTTAAAAATCGCTAATTTTCGACATTTTTTCAATTTTTTTTACTTATAACTGTCATTACTTTTTTAAAAATGACCAAGTCAATATAATTTATTTTTATCAGGTATTTACCTATCATTTTGTATATTTTTTATATAAATTTGACCCTTTACCTGCGCACAAGGGTGGATTCAAAATGACAACTTTTTCAACTTAATTTTTGAAAGTGTTCCGAAAATACTAATACTTTTATATATATATATATATATATATATATTAAATTAAAGCTCATGTAATATACTTTAATATGAAAAAAAAAATGTCGGACTTTATTTTGTTTTCATGGTGAAAACAGACATCAAATTTAAAAAAAAAATACGATTTTTGTTAAAATTATTAAATATTAATTTCATACCATATTTAAATGCTATGATAAATATTTATTCATATATTACACTTATAAATCATAAAACTTGTAATCAGAATATAAATAAGAAAATAGGAGATCATGTTGCTTTTGGAATAATCCATAATGTTTTTAGAATTTAACACTATCTACTGATTTGCAACGAAGCGTTTTTGATAGTGATTTAATCACTGTTAGATATCATCTATACTGGACCCAACTATATTACGTCCTTACTGTGCTGGGTTTTGTTTTTGGTTTTTGAGTTTTTCTAACGAAATATTTCACTGAACACTAGTTAAAATTAAATCCCGTATATACCAAACCCAACCCAACTCAATCAAAGGCAACTAAAATAGAACTATTTTTGGGGTGGAAAAATTTTAACTTTTTAAATTTTTAGTAACTAAACCCACTTATTTGCACCTATGCGTACCCAGGGACATTTCTTTCTGAAAGTAAAATTAACAAAGTCAAAGAATGTCGAGTACACTAAGCAGTTACTAAAATAGAACTCCTCTTTGGTGTTAGGTTAAGTATAAAAAAATAATATATGTATCTATTAAAAATAAGCAATTACTAGTTGACATATCAACATGAACCCTAAAATTTTTGATCCTAAGCAGTTTAGGCTAAAATATGTCCCTTAGAATGTCATCTTCTTAGTTAAACCAATAAATATTTATTAGCTACGGGCTCCAAGATATCAACAAAAAACAATTTTTTTATTATTAAACATAAATAATAAAAAATATACGTTTAACTTAATATAATAATGCAAAAATAGTTTTAAAGTGCTACTATAATAATATTGGTTCGATTACTTTTAATAACAGTAATTGTAACAAAAACTAAAAGGTTCTCCTAAGGAAATCGTAAACACTGTGATAATTGATAATTATATACTGAGAAAAAAAAAAAAAAAAAAACAGCACAAGGGAGTCATATCATAGTTGAGACAAGTATAGATAATATCTAACAGTGATTAAAATCACTATCATAAAAAACATATTGATGAAATATGAGGATAGTGTTTAATTTTTAGAAGGAAATTATTCCAAAAACATAACCAACTCCTTTACTTTTACAACTATTACTTTAATTATAACCTGATTTTTATGATTAATAAGTAAAGTTATAAATCATAGTCTTATAATGATTTATTTAGTCTTATTATAGTAATTAAATTTAGTATGAAATTGAAATTCAATAATTTATTTCAATAATTTTTACAAATAAATTGTAAAAATAAAAATAGAAAGTTCTATTATTCTGATCCTTGTTAGTTAATTATAATTTAAAATATGAAAATGAAAAATCCTGTTTGACCTAAAATATGGACAAAATAATTAGAATAACAAAGTCGTATTTAATAATAGCAATTGTATCAAAAGTTTAAAAGTTGTCAATTATATCTGTTCCACTGTGTACAATAGTGCTAATGTATATAATTTCAAAAATACATTTTATGTTTGTATTGTATAATTTAACGTCATTATTTTTAACAAAATTAATTTACACTGTTAATTCAATAGGGGGTATCACAAAAAATATGATTTTGATATTTTGATTTAGCTGAATTCAGTTTATTATTCTTTATATAATAACGCAATCTCTATAGATAAAAATTGATAAGAATATTATTTTAAAAATTAAATTTAAAAAATTGCATTTAAAAGTTAAAATTTAAAAATTACAATTTAATTCTTATAGGAGTCAAAACTTTGAAGGAGATTATTTTAAAATTTAATTTTTATTTTTTTGTATAGTTTTAAGAGTTATTTAAATATAACCAAGGTACAACATTTTTCTATATATGTACATAAAAACCACTTTTATATTTATGTTTAATATTTTATTTATTATTATGAATTTTAGTATTTTTTCATTTAACAAAACATTTTAAGGATATAATAATGATAAATTTCTAATAAGATTTAATTAATTACACATTTTTTACTCTAAAATAAGTAATAAAATACAAACTATTCAATTATTTTTTTTATCACTAGGATTTAAATTTAATTCACTAAGAGGCTTTTCTAATAAAGCATCAAGATCGTTTTCTTCTCGAAGAATAAAGAAGTAAACCATAAATACTAATAAACTTATTGTCACTATGTGAGGCTCATACCATGGTCCAAACTCTGCCTTACTACCAATTCGCGAGTGTGAAGCTCTCCATTCATAAGCAGGACTAGCAGTATACTTTACTGGTTTATTTAGTTCAGTATCAATATCATCATTGGTTTTTGCATAAAAACGACATAGATTTGGTGATATAAATTTGCTCCTTCTAAAAAAAAAAGTAATTTCTTGATTAATTAAGGACTAAATAAGTTAAAAACTAAATTATTTATTTATTCATTTATATATATATGTGTGTGTGTGTGTGTGTGTGTGTGTAAGTACTCTAAATATAATATTTACCTGTTATTAATCAAGCTTCCAGCATTTGGAGAAGCAAAAATTCTCCAAAAATGTTTCTGCAACATTATTTTAAACATTCACAGACAAAACATTAAATACGTAATTATTGTTAATAATATTAATCTATTTTGTACTTCTAAAATGCAATCAAAACAAAGTTTTTAATATACTATGATCTCAAAACGTCTTCTATTTTATCAGTCTGTCCTACCGTTATCATATAACATATGTTTTTTAGCTCTGCAATTGAAGATATCATATACTTATTCCGCCATCTTTCAATTAAATATTGAAAATTCCAATTCATATTTTTTTTTCATATTACTAGGTGAAACTTTTAATTTAATCAAATCAGAAGTTAAATTTTATTAATATTATAACTAAAAAATGCACTCTATATAAAAAATAATAGTATTCAAAATATTGATCTCTAATAATAGGACAAAATATCATTGATGTTAGACCAAATTTGACTTTATTATTTCACTAAATGTATTTTCATAATCATTGGCGCTGGAACCGGAGGGCGATGGGGGGGGTAGTTGCACCTTGATCAAAATACTATGGGGGAAAGTATCATTATGCCCCCCAATAGAATTTGACAAAAAAAAATTAACACAATTTAATTTAATTAAAAATTAAAAAAACACCTTATAAGGTGTTTTAAAATAAAAATTGAATACAAAATAGCATGGTTTTTAATTACGGCAGCCATTTACATAAAGAAGATAAGTCGTTGGGACAATTTTTTTCTTTAAAATTTATAGTACGTATTATAAGCTTTAATTTGTTATATGTTTCAAGGACGCAGTATTTCCGAAACATTTTCAAAATTTAAGTTGAAAAAGTTGAGTTTTGTAAAAAAGTTATTATTTTAAATCCCCTCTTGTGAGCAGGTAAAGGATCAGATTTTCAAAAATATTAAATTAAATAAGAGAGAATTACTTAAGGTTTTAATATAAAAAAAGATTTGTTCATTTTTCTATAAGTTATGACAATTTTTAGAAAAAAAAAATGACGAAATTTACTGAAATTAAAAATCATAATTTTTTGAGGGATTTTCACCATTTACGGGAAACGAGGAAAAATTTTATAATTTTTGAGGGTAATGTCTTCAACTAGATATGATTTGTAATCTTTTAATGTATTGTTGAGAAAAATCGGTCCAGTGAGAGCTAAAAAAAAGTATTGGCAAACACACAAAAAAAAAAAATTAAAAAGTAAAAAAACACATCATGATAAAGTTAATATTTTCTCAGCTTCAAATAAAAGCTAATAATTATTAAGAGTAAAAATTAAATTATCGGATTTTTTTTATAAGATCACTAAAATCCACCAAAAAATAGCTTAACTCGCTTTTTAGCTTAGTAATAACCAAGGGGACAGAATCATTAAATATTTGCCTCCCATTTAAAAAATAGTTCCGGCACTTCTGAATCATTATGAATCATAATTAATTAATTTTGTTGTGATTGTCACATCAAACACTTAACTCATACTAGATAAATTGTATCTAATTTTTAGATATCATTATTTACCGTTTAACAATTTTCATCCAAAATCGTCTTAAGTTTCATTCAAAATAAATAAAGTACTCAGTACATATAAAAATAATGTGAACATTGATAATTTTTTTTAACAAATTAATTTTAATCTGCTTTTAATTTTAGATAAATAAATAGATTCAATTCATTCAACTTATACAAACAAATTATTTAATTTGTCAAATTTTAATTATAATAACATAAACTCTAGACTGCACATAACATAAGACTTTTCAATTATAATTTAAATATAGAATATCTAATCATACATTACAATAATGATAAAAAGAACTTAATTATTATTATTTAATATTAATGTCAAAGACGCGCATTTAAATTTGAAATAAACAAAATGGTTACTTTATGTTAACTAACTTTTGGTTTTTACTTAGCAAAATAATATCTACTTTCAAAAAATAATTGAGTTTTTAATACAATTGTTTGTAACTATTTTAATACACTTAGATTTTAACTTTAATATAAATTTTAACTCGGTCGTTAACTTGCAAATTGATTTCCCATTTGCTAAAACTAAAAACAGCTGTTACATAATGAAATACGGCAGTGATAACAAAAATAAAGAGAGAACTATAAAGAGAGAGAAATAACCAGTCTCCTCCTACTCCGCTACTCCTTTGTCACACAAAGAGGAAGAAGAGAAGTCAACAAATAATCAACAATCAACATGGCCGCTACGATTTACTGTCGTTGTGCTGGATCGACTGGACAATGTTGAATTTTATCATGACCGATTATTGTTGATTGATTGTGATCAGTTGAATACACTTGTCGAGTGCACCAATTACTAGGTGTTTTAGATGATCATCTAGTGATGGAACTCAGGGTAGGTAATAAATACCGGCTGGGGCGTAAGATCGGCAGTGGATCATTCGGTGATATATACTTGGGTAAGTTTTAAAATTTGCACGCTTCTATGACGTACCAGCAACTATGTATTCATTTTACAATAATTCTTTTACTTTACTTTTTTTTTTTGTATTTATTAGTGGAATACATCATGTGCTTTCGTTATGTGTCAATTATAACCACAGAAATAATCGCGATTCGATAATTATACCATCGTGGTTTTATATATAATACATCGTTTTTATTAAAAGATATACTTAATGATTTCTTAAATAAAGAAAATATTTTGTTTATTTTAAAATGCTTATTACTTTAATTAATTTGAATGAATGATCAATGTGTCAAAATATTTTTCTTATGAATATTACTTCAAAATAATATTTGATCTTCTCGTAAAAAATATTATGGTGTTATAAAGTTTTATTTTCAATAAATTAAATTTATTTATTTATTTAAAATAAATTCATTTTTTATTTAAAAAACCTAATTTTATAAAAGTATTTTGAATTATTTTATTATAATAATCTAACTGAATAAATTATTTATTTAATTAGAAAATTATTTGACCTGTTTAGAACATTTAACTATTTTTGATAAAATGGTTTTTTTTCATAAATTTAGGTACAAATATTTCAACTGGAGAAGAAGTAGCAATCAAATTAGAATGTATCAAAACAAGGCATCCTCAATTGCATATAGAATCCAAAATTTACAAAATGCTCTCAAGAGCACGTAAGTTCACAAAAAATAAACTTATTGTTACTATATTTTTTTTATCAATTTATATGAATTTAGCTGGGATACCTATTATAAAATGGTGTGGTTCAGAAGGTGACTACAATGTTATGGTTATGGAGTTACTTGGCCCTTCCCTAGAAGATTTATTTAACTTTTGTTCTAGAAGATTTTCTATTAAAACAGTTCTATTATTAGCTGATCAACTGGTAATTATCTTACTATTTTTTAAAATAACTTATTATTTATATTAATATATACCTACTTCTTAAAACCTTAGTTGGATAGAATAGAATATATTCACAGTAAAAACTTCATACACAGGGATATCAAACCAGACAATTTTTTAATGGGGTTAGGTAAACGAGGTAATTTGGTTTACATAATTGATTTTGGTTTGGCCAAAAAATACTGTGACAGTAGGACAAATGAACATATAATGTATCGAGAAAATAAAAATCTCACTGGCACTGCCCGTTATGCTTCCATTAACACACATTTGGGTATAGGTATGTAAAAAAATTTTGCTAAAGATTTTGTTTTCCTTCTAAAAATTTTTTTTATTTATATCAGAGCAAAGTCGACGTGATGATCTCGAATCTCTTGGTTATGTATTAATGTATTTCAATCGTGGTTCTTTACCTTGGCAAGGTTTAAAAGCTGCTACAAAACGTCAGAAATATGAACGAATTAGTGAAAAGAAAATTGTGACATCATTTGAAGACTTGTGTAAAGGCTATCCAAGTAATTATATTTATTTAATTAAAACCCTATGATACTTATATTGAGTGTGTAATTTGGTATATTGACTGACTAGTTGTCGTTGTTGTAAAGAATCTAGTGCCACTATAGGCTCTTAGTCAATGACTAATATGGAAAATATTTTTATATATTAAATATTAACATATATATAGTTTAAAGACCTTGATTTCAGTATGTATTTATATACAACAGTATTACATTTTTTTATTTATATAGTAGTTAATCAATATTTTTTATCTCTTTTGATCAATATTAGCTTTATTTTATGCCATAGAGCAAATATATAAAAAGTGTTTCAAAATTTGTGAGGTAAATATTCTTATGTTAATATTAATTCCAAATTTAATCATTTTTTAAAAGATAATTAATAATTTTTAAAACTGAACTTCATTTGTAAATAATTAATTTATTAAAATAATGTAAAAGAAGCAAAACCTTACTGTATAATGTATAAATAAAACGGAACTACTACTTTATAAAAATATAAAAATTTCTTTTGCTCTCTTATACTAACCCATTTTATTAATTTAAAATTTTTTAAATTGTGATTTATTTGTATTTTTTTCATGTTTCATTTATGTAACGATTTTTTTGTTCTAAGAGTTTTATTAAATTTTTAATCATTTACTTGATGATGGTGCACCACTGAAACTAGTATTTATACATACTTTTAGGTATAACTTTATTTTAAACTATTTCATTATTTAATAAATTATTTATACTAAAAAAAATGTAAAAATATATTATGAATTATATTGATTTCAATAACTACTTATGAAAAAGATGTACATAAAAATATAAATATCTAAACATTTATTTGATACATTGCCATAATTCAATTTAAAAAAACAAATAATTAAAAATAAAAATTGAGTATTATATTGATTATTTATTGAGGTCGCAAGTATGGTCTATCATTTAAAGTATTACTGTACGTATATATTTAATACTACACTTGTTAGAGTATAATTGTTTTCAAAATTGCTGATATTTTACTTAAAACTATAATAATATGGAATCTTAATCAGATTTAAGAAAAACAACTTTATGAACATCTAGGGACCTTTATATTATTTCATGAGAAATATTTCTTTTTTCTCATTGATAGGATATTTGAGAAATGTGTACTCAATAAATTTTTATTTTAGATGAATTTTTAACTTACCTGTTATACTGTCGTGCATTGCGATTTACTGAAAAACCAGATTTTTCCTATTTAAGACAGTTATTTAGACAATTATTCCATCGTCAAGGATTTACATATGATTATATATTTGATTGGAACATGTTGAAATTTGTAAGTACAAAAGCATATTTGTTAATGTTATTAGTTTAACGACAATAGTTGGTATAGAAAAATGTAAAATTAGACTTAATATAAGTATTGATTTTTAAAATAAAATGATGCTTTTGATTTAATAAAATTACTATTATTTGACTTGTAGTTACTTAATTTAATAACTCTATTTACAGGGTGCTAATGGTACCAGATATACTGGATCTGATGATCAAAAAAATGCTTCGCATCAAGATAGACGTGCTATACAAGATGGTAGCTCTCCTACTACCAATGTTGTACCATTAAGCAGCCGAGCCCAGGCTGATCAGAGTGGTATTAAAAATTTTTTGTCCAAAGTACCTTTAGTTCCAGATAATTGTTCAGGTATGAAATTTTTTATTGGAATCCTTTTAAAATATCTTATTATTCTATTATGTTTTTGTCAATTTTTCATATAAGTCCAATTTAAAACATATTATATTAAGTTAGTATACTCATGATTATGTTCATTTAACTTATTTTCAAAAAAATTTTACCATAGGTGTTATTCAACCATTACAATCAAGATTACGTTATAGTGCTGATCCTGGGTCTGCAAGACCAGTTAGAACTCAAACACGCAGTTCAAATATGGCTACTCCAGATTCACCTTCTACTACACAACCTCTGCAAACCAAGTCAGTATTTGTGAGCAGACGCAATCGCCATCAAACCTAAATTAACAATTTCCTATAATATTTATTCTGTAACACCATCTAACATTATAAATACTCAATTTCTTAAAATTGAAGTATATTCAATTAATTCTAGCCTGTTTATTGCCACCTTCAAAATAATTAAACATTATTTTCTTAAAAATATTGATATTTGCAAATGATTTGATTGGTTTACATCTTCAAAATCCATCTTATCAAAAATAAATGAATTACAACAATATACTCGTATAACTAAAATAGGAGTATCATAAAAAAAAAAATTACTTTGGTAAAAATAAAAAATAAATGATCTCTTTGTAAAAGTATTTTTTCTTACGAAATGCATGCTTAAATTATAGTCCCCTTCCATTTACTAAAAATAAGAATAATTCTCTTACGTGTTTTACTTTTTATTAATTGGTGATTGTTCTATTGTTTTCATTGAAATCTTTCAGTAGTTAACACTATTCTTTGTTTTATAATTTTAGTTATATTTTATGTATTGATATGAGGTTTATCCATAATTAATATATAAAAGTTTTTCTAATATTGCTTAACACAGTAATCTACTTTTCTTCAAAAAGATAAGTCATAATAAATTTAGTTCCTGAATCACAATTTTTTCTTTTTAGTTCATTGTATAAGTATTCATGTGTACCTATCATATTTATTTAACTATTTATAAAATTTTGAAACAAAAAAGTATAAGATCTTTTCTTTTATTTGTTTTGGAAGTGTCTCCGGTCCAATTCCACCAGCGTAAGCCCCAAATCGGGTCAAAACACTGGACAAATTGCCAACTATACATCAACATAATAATTACCTATGATTGAATGAAATTGTGTAAATAACCTAGCCGATGTTTTAGATTTTTTTAACTAAGATTTATAATTAAGAGTTTTGTATATCATAAAAAATTAAATCTAACAAATATTTGAAAAAAAAAAATTTGGGGAAAATATATTGTAAGTATATTGTGATACAAGAATAATTGATAAAATCCAACAAATTATGTAAAGATCATAGCACTATTTCTAACAAAATTATATTGATTTTCTTAAATAAATGCAATGAATAATTAATTGATCAAATAATTACTCAAATAATTTTAATCAAATTTTTTTTTTCATTATTATTATTTACCACTATAATACATTTTTACTTGAGAAAAGAGTTAATTTATATACGTAAACTCTTAATGTTTCAGTTTGTTAATTACAACTAAACAGCTTAAACATTTTATTTGATTTTGAGTATATTTGAAAAGTAGAATTTAATTATAAACAATGAATATTCATTAATGAAAGAAACTTAATAATTTATTTTGTATAATTGATCTGTATTTAATTTTTGTATAATATATAATAATTATGGTTAATAATAATGAATTTGCATTCGGGATAAAAACAGGTTGATCTCTACATAAATATGTAAAGGCATTTTATATTCTTAATAAATATTATATTGATTTTTATGGTGCTTAAGCCCATAATTCTCCTATATAATTTAGGGTAAATCATTGACTGATTGTAGAGTTTTTTTTATAAAATTGTATATTTTATTGATAAATATATATTATGCAATTCATCCCATGATTTACCCTATTTATAAATTCAATAATAATAAATTCTTTAAAATCTTCTAAAAGATACGAATTAATTTAATTTAACAGTGGTTTTAAATGTTAAATATTTTCATTTTGTTTTTAAATTTGTGATCTAATATTGGTTTGTATAATTTGTGCAATTTATTTATATCTATGTATTTAATGTTCTACAAATTTAAATTTCTAGATGTTAAATAACCAACTGAAATTATCTGTAATGTTGTTAATTTTTATTATTATTTTATTATCTTCAAATATATCTTTTTACTTTCTGTACTGTGGTAAGATCTATAAAATCTAATTAATGAGTTATTTTATTAATTACCAATTAAGTTTAACTTGTACTACTTCTTCCAGCACTTATGAGGTTAATAAATTGGTTAAAAAAAATGTGAACAATATTTAAAGGTTTTTATTGGGTATATTGGGTCATAATGTTGATTTAAATTGTTTCTTCATAATATAATTTTTAAGTATTTGAAGTCTTGTGGATGGAAAACATATCAAAAAGGTGTATGTGATCTATAAAATTTTATTAAATATGTATGTTATAATGTTTCAACCAAATTTAAAGAACTCAAATTATTTTGTCAACTTTTATGTATTGTACATTCATTCACTTGACAATTTTATTATAAAAAAAAGTACAGATTTTTATAGTATCATGCTGGTTCTTAAAAGTTGATGCTTTGTGATGTATAAAATTTCTTTATTTAATTGTAAAATAGATATTATCTTGTATTTTTGTAAATTAATTTTTAACCATTAGGATAGTATAACAGTGTTTGAAATTTTATTATACTACAAGTTAATAATTATTGAGTTCATAATTCGAATTTTCAATTCTTAATTATTAGTTAACTAAGAAAATTGCTTCAATGTAGTTTCTTACGATTCGTTTCTATTTATATTGATCCAAGATACCTATAATTTGTTAGCTAAGCTCATTTCCAAGATTGAATTGTATATTACAAATTGTATTGTAATTTTGTAAATAGATTGTAATTAGAGACTTTTTTAATTTTTAACTCTGAAACAAATTTTATATTATACATTGCATTATAAATATAAGTACCACATTATAGCCTAAATTTTTTTTATTATTATTTTTATATTCTTAATATAATTCACAGCTAAATTTCTGAAAAGTTAGTATTTAGAGAATACAATTATCAAAATTCCAAATGATTTAATTATGTTTGGATAATATTCTAACATTAACATTAAATTATAAATCTAACAAATTTTAAAGAATTTAGTCGTTTTTTGACAGCATTATCTATTTAGATATTTTTCAATTAAATTCTAAATATATATTTAAAATATTACAGTAGTGTTTTATCTCCTTAGAAATTACTGGCTTTTATTTAGTGTAACCTTTGGTTCACCAAAATTTTACTACCATATACGCAGTTTTCATTTCTACTAAAAATAACTTAATCATTAAAGTGTAAACGTGTTTTAAGCAAACACTCATAATTTCCCGTACATTATAGAAAATAACTTAATAAGCAATTATTCCCGCAGAATTAATGTATCTTTTTATGATTGTTATGTAAAAACATAATAAGTTATGCATTATTGTTAATCTATTTTTATCTCGCACAACTCATTTTTTAATGAATTAAATCGTGACCAAAATACAATAGACTATTCTGACTGAAGGACATACTCGTCTTATAATGTTCTACGTATTGCCTGATTAGGGCGTAACTTTTATTGACTTAGTGATGCATACTCATATAGAATAATATGAAACCATCGTTTGGTTTATAATAATCTTAAATGGGTATTACCATTGAGGTAATCTTACTTATATTTCATTGATTGAAATAGCTCTTACGAATAATTAGTATTATTTGAAATTTTTTATGTTAATGTTTATAAAAATTGATTTTCTAAATCATTAGATTTAAAATGCATTGCCAGAATGAAAACTAACAAGTAAATAATACAAATTAAATGAATTTCAAACATTTTAGAGCTTATATTATAAGATAATAGAAACAAAATGCTAGTTAAGTCTAACCTTTACTTAAGGGAAAACTCACCGGAATAATATTCGTAGGTTTGTGATAAATTATTAAAAAATCACTCAAACTAATATTTGTTTTGCATTTATGAAAATAATTTGGTTAAATTTTAAAAAATTAAATGATCCAAGTACAGATTTAGGCAGTATTGTAGACCAAAAAAATTGAGTAACCTATTTTCAAATTATCATTTATTATACGCTTTATACAATCCAGTCAACATACTATATTCATAGTCACACATTCTATAGTACTTACTTTTTTATTATTTTAAAATAACAAATTAATAAATATAACCATAGCAATATTTTTTTTTAATTTGCTCAAAAAATTACAAAAATTACTATTTATTCTCGAATTGACAAAATACAACCCCTTAATACCTATTTTTGTGCAATTGATTATTTATACTTGATCCATAAGTAATCCAGGAAGACATTGTATATTATACAATTTAACACATATATTGTGTTATATAACATTATATAGCATGGTCAGAAGTTAGGAACAGATTTCTATTGTTCTTATTGTAACAACTGACCTGTACCTTACTTACTGAACACTCTGTATAGTAATATCTTTGCTCATATCATTAAATGATATCATAACCTTTTTTTAAGCAATATTATTACTTTCTAAAATTTATATATAATTTTAATTTACTTTGTTACAGTTAGTGAATTATTCACAATAGCGTGAAAATTGTATACACTTTTTTATAGACTTAATTAAAATTAAAAATCAAAAGGATCAACACGATCTTTACTTAAAAATAACATAGTATTTTTAATCAAATTATTAAAAGTTTTCTTTAAAATTTAAAATTAATAAGCCCAAATTTTACAAAAAGGCACTTGCAAAAAGTTGGAAAGTAATATTAGTACTTACCTCAAATCTAATTATTTTTATGTTAACTATATATTGAAATTTAAATGCATTACATAGTAAACTGAAGTTCACTCTAAAAATCATAGATTTCTAATAAATATAAAATTTTCGTATTAGATTGGTCTCAATATATATAGCTTACCACCTGATTTAGTTCTGACGCCACTACTAATTCAGTAAACTAATATTAATTTTCTATTTTTAAAATAATTTTATACATTTAACTAGTCAATTAGTAATTCAGAGAAAAATAATGTTTTAAAGATTTAAAATGGCTCTAAAACTACTTTGATAAAATGGCTAAAACCCTAGATGTCATATCTCAGTATAAAGATACAATCAAGTATGTTTATAAAATTTCTCAATCTTTCTCCTCTCATCTTTAATTAGAAAAAAGTTAAATACATTTATTTTTCAAAATCTATTTATAAAGCTATTTTTGTTTGGATAACAACTTAAGGATAAATTAATTATTGAGTTATAAACATCTTAATACAAAGTAGGTATTGTAGCAGTGGTGGAGTGCACATTCATTAGTACGAACTATACTTATCCGCGCAACATATAAACTCATTGTACATCATTAAGTACTTCTTTAAGTTTTTATCGACCCATAAAAATTGTTGGTAAAATATAATTAATAATGTCTATTTTGAAATTTCGAAAAAAATTTTAAAAAATAACTGTTTTTTCTATTAGATACAAATAATAAAAAACATACTTAAAATGCAGTTAAAAACTAAAAAAGTTATTAAAAAATAGTTATGTAATATTCGCTTAATCAAATTATTTAAGATTTCATGGTTAAAATATTTTTCTAATAGTTTATGCATCAGACTACATTAAAATCATATTTTTTTATTAATAAAATATTAAATAAATGAATTTTTTTTCAAAATAGTCGTTTTTAGAGTGTATTTTATAAAAATATTTTAATGGGTTAATAATAACTTTAGGACGAATAATTATTGCGTTACAAGCATTTTAATATATAGAGATGATATGTACACCTAAGAGTCCTACGCAGTGGCGTATTTAGAGGGGGCACTTGCCCCCCCTACCTACCATTAACTGAGACATGTAAATATTTTATCAAGCAATGTAATAATGTATAATATCATTAGAAAAAGTTATTTTCTGGTTATCGATAATAACATAGATTTATGAAATGTTAGTCGATATAGTTGTCTTGTGGAGAAAAATTTGACGTCCGCACAGTTTTCCCCTTAATGTTATCACCTATTTCTGAAGCGTTTTTACGTAGTGATACACACTGTATAAGAAAAAATGTTATTAATTAAACTGAATTCAAAACAAATAACAAATTAAAAAAAAAAAAAATTTTAAATATATGTTTAATATGTGTTAACAAAAGTTATGAGCAAAAAAAAAGTCATTTTATGGTACTTTATTCATGAACATTTTTTGTGCCCCCCCTCATTATACATTTTTAAATACGCCACTGGTGCTACATATATAAAACGCGGATGAGTACAGTTCGTACTGATATATATTTATAAAGCATTCTCCAACCCACATACCCACTCTATATATTAGAATATACATTATACATTATATATTAGAATTTATGTATATATCAATAAATACTCGTCACAGGGGGCAATTTCAGATTATACTAGACTGGTGCAAAGTTTTGATCGGTCGAACATTTAACAAATACACTTGTTTCGCTTGCAATAAATCCCACATAATATAACTACTACACTAATTTTATATTTAAAAAAACATTTTCAAAAAAATGGCTATGTGACTTCTTTTTTAAATAATTTTAACGAAAATAAAATATAACTTCTTAACGATTATGCTAGTTTGAAAAATGGAGATTATAATGAAAGAAACAATAAAATAAAAAACAAATATTTTGATGTATTATATCAAAAGTTGACTAAAATATTTAAAAAATAGAGTCAAATTTGAATTCATCAATTTCAAACATTTTTTGATCAACTTTTTTTTTACTTAAGAGTAGAAATTTTGATTATATTAAACGTGTTCTATTAAAATTACGTTTAAAAATAGTGTGCAGCTATGACTTGTACTGAAAATTTAGATTGAGATAATACTCAAATGACACCCCTGACTAGTTCTAAATTTTTTTATAAGAAAATCTCTAAAAACGGATAATTTGAAATTTAAGAAACATAAAACTTAATTTTTTTTTATTATTAAAAACAAATAATAACAGAGTTATGAAAGTTTTAAGTAAAAAAAAAACCAGCACAGTGAAGTCACGGCATAGTGAGGACGTGGCATAGTTGGGTCAAGTACAGATAAATCTGACAGTGATTAAAAACTCTATCATAAAAAATACTCCTTGTGAGCAAGTTAAGGGTCAGATTTGTGATCTTTTGACGTATCGTTAAAAAAATCGTTCCAATGAGACCTGTATATGTATAAAATTATACAGGGTGTTCAGTAAGTCAGGAAACGGGTTTCTATTGTTCTCATTGTTTGTAACAATGAGAACAATAGAAACCCGTTTCCTGACTTACTGAACACCCTGTATAATGTGAGTACCTGTTATGGGTACACACATAATAACTTATTTTATTAAAACATTTTATGGGGACAATAATCGTCCCCAACCTTCTTTACAAGCATATACCTAGTTCATTGTATTACCCACTCTATATAACAATTTTATATTCTAAAAAACCTTTAATAAATTTGACAGACATATTTATTCAAAATTGTTGTCAGTAATAGCTAAAATTCTACAAGGACCACCAGTGCCATCTAATAACTTTATCGGTTGAATAATCAGTTTAAATCCTTTCGGGGGCAGTGAAGTTCCATTTAATGCCACGTTTTCCAAATTGTAAATATTAGCTTTGGAAATAATTCTATGAAAGCTTAATGTCTTAGAATTTCCAGGATCTACACTGGGGCAATCAACACCAACGCCGTAGACTCTACCAGTATCAATAATCCATTGGGCTGCTTCAGATGATAACCCTGGAAATCTGTAAATTGTTATAGTTTAACATTATTCAAAAAAATGTCTTTGAGTAATAAAATTTTCAAAAAAATTATATTTTTTTACGATCAAAAAATGTATTTGCTCTCCCTTAAAATTTAGAGTAGCATCTAATGTGAAATAGAACAAAAAGGTCCACCAAATTTTTATTGAGAAAATCTCTTACCTAGATTAAATGGTACTTAAGTATAATTTAAATCTTACGTTAGTTCATATGTTTTTGATAATTATCAACAAGTAAAAAACTTAATATCCAGTTTCCTTATTCAAAATTCTTAATAAAAAACCCCTAGATTGAGAAACTCATGGAGATTTTTTCGGTAGCTTGTCTAAACAAACCGGCCCTGACCGCACCTATGATTAATTTAATTTAAATTTTTACCTCATATTTGAATTTTCACTACTATAATATTTCAGACGATTTCCAAAGTTGTGTGACCATCCAAAGTTAATCAATATCACAGATCGATTGGGAATCAAACCATAAGTTTTTTCCCATTCAATTAAGTGATGAGCAGTTAAAACAAAGTCAGCATTTCCATTAACTTCTTGGCTGACATTAATATGTACACCTAAAGTAAAAATATATATTATGTACATTATGTAAAAAATGAACTTAAATGTCATTTTATGAAATATACATTTCATATGCAAACTGTTACTAAAACAGTTTCAACGTTTAATCCAAGTTGGTTACGTATATATACTTCAGTTAATTCGTGTAAGTCAAGATGCGTTTAAATTCTGAAAATAATTCTAACTACAGTGTCGCAAAATCATGCCTTGATATAATACTTTAAACGTTTTCTCATCATTAATATTTATAATACTATCTGGATTTATAAAATTATAATATTATAAATTTCTTTATATTAGAATTATAACGAACGATTTTTTAGGTTCTTAAAAGTATCAATTATATTCCTTTTTAGGACCAAAAAATCTTGAAATATGCTTTTTATTTAATCTATTTATGCATATTTTCATAATAACCGTAATGTGGACTTTTTTATTTATAAACGTGTATTCATTCAAATAATCTTTATGACATGTATTATATGACCTGTATTGAACTAAACAAAAATAATGGTTCGTTTTTTACAATATATATAGATATATAAATACAATACTGATAATATAGTTAACATAATTATGATCACTACTGTTTCAGTACTCAGCCAAAGCTTGATAAAAATCCATAGAGTTCGAATAAGCCAATTCTGGAGATTTTGTAATACCAATACTAAGCCAGTATTGAATTAATACATAGACAAGATTTAATTCAGTATTACGTCAATATGAGCTAGCCAACTGACAACTGTTAGAACTGCATCCGTAAATGACACTGGTATTTTACAGAAATGACTACTTAAAACAAAATTTTAAATGACACCCCTGATTTAGATCCCCTAAATTATTTATTGTTCTACCATATGCCAGCATTAGTACTTACCTTCAACAATTTGTCGTTCTAATGGAATATCACCCAACTTCCATCCTTTTTTGTTAAAATGGTAAGGTGCATCAATATGAGTTCCGCAATGTTCAGACAAAGAAAATTTTTCTGTAGTATACCATGTTCCATCTTCGTGATTTCCTTCTTCTATTACATCAAAAATATTGAAAAATTCATTAGGTTCCCAACAATTTGTTATGTTGTGCCTGTATCCATGACTGAGATCTAATACCACACTACTTGATTCTTTAGCAATAAAAACCAATACAAAGGAAAATAAAAAAACAAAAATACTCTCCATAATTTTTTTTTAAAACTTATTCTTAATTTGAATTGCCTGTAAGTCAACTGCTTACATTTTCACAAAATATTACTATATTATTTTATCTATAAATTTATTAGCTAATACAGTGAACTTTGAATCATTGACCCTAAGAGTTCATTACATTATCGCATTTTAATCTCAATTTTAATATCAAAGATATTAACAAATATCGTTGGTAAATAATGTGTATAAAACTTTCTAAATAGTTTATTTATATATAAGACTTATATATATATATTATTTCTCACAAAGAGAAAGTTTCAGTTTATAAGGACTTTGAAAACAAATTAATTACAGCATTAGTTCTAAATATTATTGAATCAAAATATAAATATTATGTTTTATATTATCAATATAGACGGATTAATATGCACTTGTACATTTTTTTTAGCAACTTTGAAGTTTGTACTACTTAGTTTGACTTTGTCCTAAAGTTGTTATCAATCCGTTCAAATTAAAAAAAAAAATGACTCCTTAAAATTAAAAAAAAAATAATATTTTATTTGTTAGTCATATTCAAAAAAAAATACACATTAAAAATTCAGTCTAAGAAGGCAATAATAAATTTTGAAAAAATGATAAGTATATCAAAAGTTATAAGCATTGTTTTTAGGTCTGAGAAACTTTGTATATATTACTACAATTATAAATGTTAAATGTTCATGTAAGCTACTTTAATCATAAAGAACAATTTAAATACACGCATGGCCTTAATATGATAAAACCCCTATGCTTTAAAATTAGGTTTTATAGTTAATAGTTTTTGATAAGTTGATATTGCTTTAATTTATTTTCTTTTTTAATAATTTACAATTAGTGAATAGTGTAGTGTTTTGTATATCTAATATTTTTACAGTGTAGTTAATATTATAATCATAATATTATCGTAAAATTAAACTTCATACAATAATTCGTATAAATACATAAAAAAAATGCAATTTCTATAAAAAATATCCAATGTTTTGTTTTAATTTTTAATGTATCACTTTGTTTTGATTAACTTAATATTGACCTATTTCTATAAAATACATTGATACGAAGAAAATGATTTTAACTATTCCATATTTGCAAATATAATGAATATTTTTGAAAACTTCATTTGTTTTACATATTTATGTCCTAGTTATGTTTCTATGTAACGTTTATGATATTTTATAACTAGTATGAAAAGTATAAATTACTGTTCATCTACTATATAGTAGACATATAGTAATTAATATCAAGTATTACTTATATTAATTGGTATTTAATTAACGAAATAAATAATATCCGTTAAACTGTTAATTAGTTGTTTAAATATATGATTTTTAACTGTATAATTTGTTTTCATTTTATAATTTCACAGAATATTGAATCTTCAATTACATGCTCTCAATGACTCATAAAAGATTTTTTAAATAGCATATACATACAAAAAATTATCGCACACCTTCGAGAAAAAAAATGAAATCTGGTTGGAGATAATGAGGACGTTCAGAAAATCATAGAGAGTAAGAAAATCAGTCCAAAAAATCCCAGAAGAGCAAAATGGGAGAAAATTAGATGGACTAAAAACGCTTGTGTACAGAAGCCAAATGTGCGGTAAGACGAAGTTTAAGAGATATGTTGAGTAGTATAATAGGCTAGGAACAATAGAAGGTGCAAAGAAGTCTATAGACTTGTAAAAGTAAGAGAAAAACGGTCTAAATATTATCACAATGTAAGGTGTAGAAAAAGTGATTATAAAAGGATGCTAACAAGTCATGATGACGAGAAGAAAATGTGGAAAAAGTATTTTGAAAAAATATTAAATGAGAAGTATCCAAAAGAGACATTAGAGGATATCTCATGGAACGAGAGACTAGTAGATTTAATTTGTGAGAAAGAGGTATGGGAGGCTGTGGCATCAATGAAAAAGAATAAAGCAGTAGGACCAGATGAAGTGCCAGTAGAAGTATGGAAAATATTAGGCGGTGTTGGCATAAGGTGGTTGAAGGAACTTTTAAATAAAATCTTATTAGAAGGGAAAATTCTAAATAAATGGAGGAATAGTATTGCGGTATCCATATTTAAAGGCAAAGGAAACATACAGGAGTTTGGTAATTATAAAAGCTTATGAAGTCATAGGACGAAAATTTGAAAAAAGATAATAGATAAAAGAATAAGAGGATAAACGTCAGTAATAAAGAACCAGTTTGGTTTTTTGCTAGGAAAGTCAATGATGAGGCCAGTTTTTTGTATGAGACAACTAATAGAAAAATATAGGATAAAATGAAAAAGCTGTGTATGGTATTTATAGATTTGGAGAAAGTCTATGATAGAGTACCAAGAGATGTTTCAAGTGGACATTAATGAGAAAAGGAAAAAGAAAAAGTGTAGGTGGAGAAATATAAGATTTTAGGGTAAGATCAGGAATGCACCAAGGTTCTACTTAAAGCCCTTATTTATTTTCAATAGTGATGTATGAAATTACTAGAGAAATTTGTAACTAAAATGTTATGTAGTCAGACAAATTTTTTAAGCAAATAAATAAATGGTGTTTACCTGAAATTTTATTGAAATTGAAAAAAGTATTGTAGTTGATAAAATAAATTAACAGAATTATTTTTATTTTTTTATTAAATAAGTGTTTCGTGATAAAATAATCACCGTTTATAAATATATGTATATAATTTATTATATTTCAGGAATAAAACTATACGAATCCAACCTTTTGGTGTCTTAATGACCTAATTCGTGATTTTAGCTTCGATGCGAAGCTGAGAAGGTATTGGTTTTACTATGATGTGTTTTTTTTTTTTTTTTTTTTTTTTTTTTTTTTTTTTTTTTTTTT